TGAATAGCCCAATAACCAGTAGCGAGATTGAAGCAGTGATCAAAAACCTGCCAAAAAACAAGAGTCCAGGGCCTGATGGATTCCCTGGGGAATTCTACCAAACATTCAAAGAAGAAATAATACCTATTCTACTGAAGCTGTTTCAAAAAATAGAAACAGAAGGAAAACTTCCAAACTCATTCTATGAGGCCAGCATTACCTTAACCCCCAAACCAGGCAAAGACCCCATCAAAAAGGAGAATTTCAGACCGATATCCCTGATGAATATGGATTCCAAAATCCTCAACAAAATCCTAGCTAACAGGATCCAACAATACATTAAAAGGATCATCCACCACGACCAAGTGGGATTTATCCCCGGGATGCAAGGGTGGTTCAACATTCGCAAATCAATCAATGTGATAGAACACATTAATAAGAGGAGGGAGGAGAACTATATGATCCTCTCAATTGATGCAGAAAAAGCATTTGACAAAATACAACATCCTTTCCTGATTAAAACTCTCCAGAGTATAGGGATAGAGGGAACATTCCTCAAGCTCATAAAAGCCATCTATGAAAAACCCACAGCGAATATCATCCTCAATGGGGAAAAGCTGAGAGCCTTTCCCTTAAGATCAGGAACACGTCAAGGGTGCCCACTCTCACCACTGTTGTTCAACATAGTACTAGAAGTCCTAGCAACAGCAATCAGACAACAAAAAGAAATAAAAGGTATTCAAATTGGCAAAGAAGAAGTCAAACTCTCTCTTTTCGCAGACGACAGGATACTTTATGTGGAAAACCTAAAAGACTCCACCCCCAAATTACTAGAACTCATCCAGCAATTCAGTAATGTGGCAGGATACAAAATCAATGCACAGAAATCAGTTACTTTCTTATACACTAACAACGCAACTGTAGAAAGAGAAATTAGAGAAACAACTCCATTTACAATAGCACCAAAAACCATAAGACACATCGGAATAAACCTAACCAAAGAGGTAAAGGATGTATACTCTAGGAACTACAAAACACTCATGAAAGAAATTGAAGAAGACACAAAAAGATGGAAAAATACTCCATGCTCATGGATCGGAAGAATAAACATTGTTAAAATGTCTATGCTACCCAGAGCAATCTATACCTTCAATGCCATCCCAATCAAAATTCCAATGACATTTTTCAAAGTGCTGGAACAAACAATCCTAAAATTTGTATGGAATCAGAAAAGACCCCGAATCGCCAAGGAAATGTTGAAAAAGAAAAACAAAGCAGGGGGCATCACGTTGCCCGATTTCAAGCTATATTACACAGCTGTGATCACCAAGACAGCATGGTACTGGCACAGAAACAGACATATAGACCAATGGAACAGAATAGAGAACCCAGATATGGACCCTCAACTCTATGGTCAATCTTTGACAAAGCAGGAAAAAACATGCAATGGAAAAAAGACAGTCTCTTCAATAAATGGTGCTGGGAAAATTGGACAACCACATGCAGAAGAATGAAACTCAACCATTCTCTAACACCATTCACAAAGATAAACTCAAAGTGGATGAAAGACCTCAATGTGAGACAGGAATCCATCAAAATCCTAGAGAACATAGGCAGCAACCTCTTTGACATCGCCCACAGCAACTTCTTTCAAGATACATCTCCAAAAACTAGTGAAACAAAAGCAAAAATGAACTTTTGGGACTTCATCAAGATCAAAAGCTTCTGCACAGCAAAGGAAACAGTCAACGAAACAAAGAGGCAACCCACAGAATGGGAGAAGATATTTGCAAATGACACTACAGATAAAGGGCTGGTATCCAAGATCTATAAAGAACTTCTCAAACTCAACACACAAAAAACAAATAATCAAGTAAAAAAGTGGGCAAAAGATATGAAAAGACACTTCTCTGAAGAAGACATACAAATGGCTAACAGACACATGAAAAAATGTTCATCATCATTAGCCATCAGGGAAATCCAAATCAAAACCACACTGAGATACCACCTTACACCAGTTAGAATGGCCAAAATGGACAGGGAAAGAAACAACAAATGTTGGAGAGGTTGTGTAGAAAGGGGAATCCTCTTACACTGTTGGTGGTAATGCAAGTTGGTACAGCCACTTTGGAAAACAGTGTGGAGGTTCCTCAAAAATTTAAAAATAGAGCTACCCTATGACCCAGCAATTGCACTACTGGGTATTTACCCCAAAGACACAGATGTAGTGAAAAGGGCCATATGCACACCAATGTTCATAGCAGCAATGTCTGCAATAGCCAAACTGCGGAAAGAGCCAAGATGCCCTTCAACAGATGAATGGATAAAGAAGATGTGGTCCATATATACAATGGAATATTACTCAGCCATCAGAAAAAATGAATACCCAACTTTTACATCAACATGGACGGGACTGGAGGAGATTATGCTAAGTGAAATGAGTCAAGTAGAGAAAGTCAATTATCATATGGTTTCACTTATTTGTGGAACATAAGGAATAGCATGGAGGACATTAGGAGAAGGAAGGGAAAAATGGGGGGGGGGTGGAATTGGAGGGAGAGATGAACCATGAGAGACTATGGACTCTGAGAAACAAACAGGGTTTAGAGGGGAGGGGGGAGGGGGGATTGGTTAGCCTGGTGATGGGTATTAAGGAGGGCACGTACTGCATGGAGCACAGGGTGTTATATGAAAACAATGGATTGTGGATCACTACATCAAAAACTAATGATGTATTGTATGGTGACTAACATAACATAATAAAATTTAAAAAAAAGTATAAGCAGATCCTTGCATATGACAGAGCTAAGAAAAATTATATTTTCTAAGAGGATTTGATACCATAATCTTTTTTTTAAGATTTTATTTATTGGGGCGCCTGCGTGGCTCAGTCGTTGAGCGTCTGCCTTCGGCTAGGGTCATGATCCCAGGGTCCTGGGATCGAGCCCCGCATCAGGCTCCCTGCTCCGTGGGAAGCCTGCTTCTCCCTCTCCCACTCCCCCTGCTTGTGTTCCCTCTCTTGCTGTGTCTGTCAAATAAATAAATAAAATCTTAAAAAAAAAAAGAGAGATTTTATTTATTTATTTGAGAGAGAGATAAGAGTGTGAGAGCAGAGGAGGGGCAGAGGGAGAGGGAGAAAGAATCTGAAGCAGACTCCACACTGAGCACAGGGCCCCATGCAGGGCTGGATCCCACAACCCTGAGATCATGACCTGAGCTGAAACCAAGAGTCAGACGTTCAACCAACTGCGCCACCCAGGCACTCCAATACTTAATCTTTATGTGAAAAAAACAGGACACAAAATAAATAATACATTATGTTGAATGCTAAGTTTGGAAAATAAATGAGTATGTGTGTATGCACAAAAAATCTCTAAAGAAATATATTATCTGTATAGTCTGCATATTTTCCACCTTAAGCATTCATTTATGTAATTATAAAAGCTAATTTTTAAAAAGCCTACACATTTTGAAATAATGAGTTATTTCTCCTAATCAAACTTTTGTCATTTATGTCAAAATTCAGATAATTAAACATTGAGATATTGGTAAAATATATACTATTTTCTTTGCATTAAAAAAAAATTTTTTTAAGACTGTATTTATTTTATTTTAGAGACAGAGAGAAAGAGAGAGAGAGGGCATGCGAGTGTGGAGAGGGGTAGAGGGAGAGGGAAAGGAACAAGCAGACTCCACAATGAGGGTGGAGCCCAAAGAGGGCTTGATCTCATGACCCTAAGATCATGACCTGAGCCGAATCTAAGAGTCAGATACTTAACTGCTTAATTGACTGAGCCACATAGGTGCCCCTTTCTTTGCATTTTTAATAAAATTTTACACAATCACAAAAATTTTATACCTGCAGGACAGATTGTGATTATCTTCCTTATATCCCTCTTATTAAAATCAAAAACTTAATTTGACTAAACTGATCAGCTATTTTACTATTATATGCTCATACAGACAGGTATATAAGAGAATAACCTATAAGTTGGTTCTGCGATTTTAGCCTACTTCCAAGGTTCCTGAGTCAGAGACAAAGGATTTTTATTCATGGCACAGGAAACAGCATAAGCATCCACAAATATGCACTGGTTTCCCTTGGCCCCCAAGTCCAGTGGAAAGATACAGAAGGTCCAGATGGATGCCTGCACATGCAATGTGCTGAGCTGCAGAAAAGAACACTGAACTTGGAGAGCCACTATTCTTATAACAATCAGCAAGCAAACCTGCTCTTTGTCCTGGAGGGAGATACTACCTTGTCAGTCAAGGTTGCTTGCTGCAAACATAACACTGAGAAATGTCTTGGGTAATAGTGGTCAGGGCCTTGCATCCTTAGCATCCCAGTAGGGATGCTCAGGGTCCCAGAGCAGATCGCCTCCCTCAACAATATACATTTTAGTCTTACATGACTGAACTTTTTAGTGAGTATCTTATCTTTGTGCCAAAATGGTCAGGTTTGGTATTTGATTTTATCCTACTTACAACCTAATAAACTTAATTTATTACTGTTTCATTGATGCTGGCTCTTGAGTCAGAGACTAAGGCCTGGAATTTTTGACATACCCAGCAAAAATGTGCATGGACACTCAGGGCCCATGATGGATTGCCTCTCTCAACAATAACCTAAAATATTAACTACTGGGCACCTGGGTGGCTCAGATGGTTGGTTAAGCGTCTGCCTTCGGCTCAGGTCATGATCCCAGGGTCCTGGGATCGAGTCCCACATCGGGCTCCCTGCTCCTTGGGAGCCTGCTTCTCCCTCTGCTTCTCTCTCTGTCTCTCATGAATAAATAAATAAAATCTTAAAAAATAAAAATAAAAAATAAATAAAATAAAATATTAACTACTTAGGAGTGCCTGGTTGGCTCAGTCGGAGGAGCATGTGACTCTTGGTCTTGGGGTCCTGAGTTCAAGCCCCACATTGGGGGTAGAGACTAAATAAATAAAACTTTTTAAAAAATTAAAAATAAAATAAAATAATAAAATATTAGCTACTTAAATACACTAGTCATACCTACCCAAGAAGTACTCTGTCCACAGCTACATTAGTGGAAGAAGAAATGAGAAGTTTCCATGGTCTTGCATTTCCAACTGTAGGAACTTCACTCTTTTCAAATAGCTGTACAAAAAACAAAATCACCACTGCCAGCAAATAACTCTTTCCTGATCCAAAAACACCTAATTATTTTGAAGGAAGGGGAAAAAATAAAGGCAGTGTCATAAATAAATTTCTGAAAGCACAAGAAACATTTCATCCATCTGCCTTCCTCTCTCCTCTGTTTAAATTAATTTATTCAAAAAATATTCACTGAATGGCCACTATGTGCTAAGCACAGGGGATAAGGAGATAACCAAAGATCTCCACATTCAATGAGACCCTAGTCTAGTTGGGAAAACAGATAAAGTAAAGGAACAATGATAAAATGATAAGGTAAGTAACACTGTTATGGTATTAATTAAAAAAAGAACATTCCTTTCTGCTTTGGTGGAGATGGGAATGTTTCCTAAAAATAAGAAGTAGCAGAACGAAGTCTTTCAGCATAAGATATCCAGACGACTTAAATAAAGGGTCATTCTAGGCAAAGGCATGACAAAGTATGTAGATGTTACCTATTTGTATACAGCCTATAGCAAATAGGCAAGAGACGAGGCTGACAAGATAGGCAAGAGGATAAATCATAAGAGTTCTGCATGGTATGGCTAAAAAGTTTAAATTTTGTCTTGTAGGCCAGGGACAGTCCCTAAAGGATTTTAAGCAACAGAACTGACTTAGGCAGATTGTATTTTGTAAAAACTACTTAAGTGAAAATATTAAGAAAGGTAAAACTACAGGTAGATCAATTAGAAAGTGGTGTGACAGTAACTGTTACAATATTGTTACAATACTCTAATACATGCTAACTTTCCTGAGTGCCTCCCATGTGACAGGCACTGTTCTAAGACCTTTACCAACCAGTTAACTCATTTAATCTTCCAATCCTAAGAGACAGATGCTATTATCAACTCCACGTTACAAGGCAGGAAATTAAAAAGATAAGTAACCTGCCCAAGATCATATAGCTAATAAATAAAAGAGCCAGGATATAAACCCAGGATTCTAGCTTGAGAGCCCACCCTCTCACCAGTAGGCTATATGAAGGTATGGTGAAGGCTGGGATTGAGGTGATGCTAGTGATCTGGAGAGAAGAAAACCGATATGAAAGAAAGGTAGACACTAGAAGGGAAACATCTCAGTGACTGATCTGATGAGGGAAGATAAAAAGAGAGTAGGAGGAGGATTAAGAGAGTCACTTCATCTAGAGAGAAAGAGTAATCAAGGATGACTCCCAGACATCTAGCTTGGTCAACAGGGTGGATGTAATGTAAATCCTCAAAGTAGCACAAAACAGCTCTGGAGTGGAGGTCTGTGAGAGGAAATGAGCTAAAGGGGTGACAGAATCCAAATAGAATAATTAGCTCTAAGAGGGGAAAGTAAAGCTCCCTTACTGGGACAGAACCAAACGGGGTTAAAAAATAGATTCAAACTTAGGTAAATTGGAGGATGGCAGGATATTGAGAGGAGTTTCTGTTATAAGCTCCATTTCCTGTTTTAGAGGCAAGATCAGTTTCAGAGAGAGTGGGGCAGGGGCCAGGAGGGGTTATGAGAATGAAGGTTTGGAATAGCTGCTGGGGAGGATGAAAGAGTAAACTAACTAGGAATTAATAAAAGGCTTTGCTGCTCAGAGTTGAAGTTCACTCTGATAGTGCAACACATGGATATCTAGATCACATCTGGATGCTGTGAATAATGAGTGCATGATGCTACTCATTCATCAGATACGCTGCCTATTCTCCCTTTCAGGGTGGTCAGTTCTGCTCTCATCTAATAGTTTACTAAAGTAGGTTCAGATTCAAAATAATCTATGCAGAGTTTTTCTGGAATCTTGTCTGACTAGGAAATTACAAGCAGGCTAAGTTACAAAAGCTTATATAACAGGATATTTACTAAAACTATTATCTTTCTTACTTCTTACCATGTATGATCGTGATAGGGAGGGTATGGATTTGCAGTTCCTTCACTTCTTCAACATTTCCATGGGATGCCATCATTTGAGCTATCTGAATTAAAGCTGTAGCTTGATCCTTATTTAACTTGTGTGCCTGAATTAATTCACTAGCTAACTGCAACGTTGCTTCTAGGCTGAGAAGTTCAAATTTTGTGTTGATATTTGAGAAGGCTGGTGGGATAAATCTTCTCTTATTGACTTTCTTGTTGTTAACTATAGTTGATGAAGACCTAGTATAAAGGCAGCAAAAAAAAAAAAAATCAAAGAAAAATGAGCGGTTTTTGAAATAGGTAAATAAACCTATTCATAGCTTAACCTTCACTTCATACGCATCCCAGAGAACATTTTTTTAAAGGCATAAATGCATATATGCCCCAATCTGAAGGAGGGGGAAAGAGAAGAGAACTAACGTTTGTTGACCATCAACTATGTGCAAGTACTATGCTGAGCATTTTACATACTATTTGATGTAATCTTAAAAACAACATTAGGAAGTAATTACCCCAAATAAAGATACAGAAATATTAAATTTTTTCCCAAAAAGCACACGGATAATAAGTGGTGCACTGACCTAAAGCCCATGTTCCACTATATAAGGCTGACAGATAATTAATATAGCCTCTATTTCAGGTAATACTGCAATAAATAAATTGGCTTTATTTCTATTTCTATAAAGAAATTCTATATAGAATGAATTCATTTCAAAGATTAAATAACAAAGATAGATAATAATATAATGGAATCAGAAGGATTTTAATTTTTTACCTAGAACTTCCATAAAATTCCAAATTAGAAACTATACTTTTTCTACCATTTTAGTGAATTTAATAGAATATCACTTCCAATATTTTAAAAAGGGGTATGGTACTTGAAAAATTAAAAGTAAGTTATAGGTTATGTCAAGAATAAAGTTAGCATCAATATACATTACTGAATTCAACCTGTAAAAGGATTCTTTTAGATATTAAATCATTTGAGGCATAAAAATACAAATGAATAAAAAAATTAACACTCAAAAAAGTCCTTAAAATATTATTCCTTGACAAATGGAAAAAAATTGCAGTAACATCCTTTTATTTTTAACTAGTGACTAACAGTAATCTCATGGTCTCTGAAAGATAATAAGAATATTGTTGGCAAAAATTTATGTAATGTACTTTGATTTCATTTTCAAATTCACATTTAGTCACATTTTGGAATACCAATGACCCAAGGGTAAAATAATGACTTACATTGTTAACAAGTACTGTGTTAGAGGTAGAGTAGCTGGATTAAAGTTGTCCTGAATGTTTTTCAAAGTGGTCAGCTCTGTGCTAGCATTACAAACCAACAATGCATGGACCACTACTGTAGAGAGAATGCAGAAAATGAACATTTAATATAAAAAAATGGATCATAAAAAAACTATTAAAAATGTTCAGTCGGGTGTCTCAGTTGGTTAAACATCTGACTTGATTTCAGCTCCAGTTGTGATCTCAGGGTTATGGGATCGAGCCCTGTGTTGGGCTCTGTGCTGGGCATGGAGCTTGCTTAGGATTCTCTCTCCCTCTGCCTTCCGCCCCTCCCCAAATGTTCATATAACTCAGAGCTTGGCTACTGAATTAATCACATGACATAAAATAAACTCTTAAGTATATATGGAGGTCCTTTTATCCATTAAACTACAATACTACCCGCTTATTCATACTTTTCATAATGGGTATCCATAAATTGCATAACTTAAATAAAATTTAGACTTCTATACGTCAGCTAATGAGCAAGAACAACTGTTCTGAGTTAGTGCACGGTGACACTGCTTGACAGTTCCAACTAATAAGCAGACCATCTTGTGCTGTACAGTAGTTATTTGTGTAATTTCTGAACATTTTATTTGTGCAACTATTTTATAGGAAAATATGGAAAGCATAAAGTTAGAATGCTGATATGGGGGAAAGAACTGCAATAAATACGAAAATATGCATATGAAAGTGACATATTAAGTAACAAATGTTTAGGTAATTAGGCTTTTACTGGACTCAAGCTAGTTGACTAGCTTTTTCAGTTCCTGAAGAAAAAAATCAAAAGTTAAAAATGTATATGAAATACTTGAAATGGGGACGCCTGTGTGGCTCAGTCGATTAAGCATCTGCCCTCGGCATAGGTCATGATCCCAGGGTCCTGGGATCGAGCCCCGCATCGGGCTCCTTGCTTAGCAGGGAGCCTGCTTCTCCCTCTGCCTGCTTCTCCCTCTGCTTGTGCTTGCTCTCTCTCACAAATAAATAAAGAAAATCTTAAAAAAAAAAAACTTGAAGTGAATCATTAAATGTTGTGTCTCTAATTATAGACCAAATTCAACTATCAGGAATTATTCCAGAGATCAAGAGGCATAAAGTAATCTATAGATTCTTAGAACTGGATAGGGATTCAGGCTACTAAAACTTCCTTTATTAAAAAATAATAAGGATGGGGGTGCCTGGGTGGCTCAGTCATTAAGCGTCTGCCTTCAGCTCAGGCCATGATCCCAGGGTCCTGGGATCGAGCCCCGCATCGGGCTCCCTGCTCCGCGGGAAGCCTGCTTCTCCCTCCCCCACTCCCCCTGCTTGTGTTCCCTCTCTCGCTGTGTCTCTCTCTGTCAAATAAATAAATAAAATCTTTAAAAAAATAAAAAAAATACTAATAAGGATAGTAGCCTACTATCTTATTAAAACTTTCTCAAAATAAAAATCATACCTTCCTGTTCCATTGCTGGCAAAATCCCTGTAAAATCTACAAGACCTTCTCAATGTAAAAAGAAATGATGTGTTTACTAAGTGTACCCTATTAGAAAAATAAACCAAAAGAATTAAAAAAACCAAGAGAATCAGAACTTAATGTAAGAAATGATTTAAGAAAATTCTTCTTTATACTTTTAATGTTTATATTTTTAAAAATCAGTTATATAAAAATCAACTTTAGGGGAGCTTGGGTGGCACAGCCAGTTAAGTGTCCACCTCTTGGTTTCGGCTGAGGGTTGTGGTCTCGGGGTCATGAGATCGAGCCCCGCACTGGGCTCCGTGCTCAGTGTGGAGTCTGCTTGAAATTCTCTCTCCCTCTTCCTATGCCCCCCCACCTCTCTTTATCTCTCTCTCAAATAATAAATGGATGCATTTTTTTTTTTTTAAGATTCTATTTATTTATTAGAGAGAGAGACAGCGAGAGAGGGAACACAAGCAGGGGGAAAGGAAGAGGGAGAAGCAGGCCTCCCACCGAGCAGGAAGCCCGATACGGGGCTCAATCCCAGGACCTTGGGACCATGACCTGAGCCGAAGGCAGATGCTTAACCGACTGAGCCACCCAGGTGCCCCAATAAATAGATGGATCTTAAAAAACAAATCAACTTTAACAAATACTTAAGTGAGGGTTCAAGATTTTATTATATTGTTAGCCCTCTGAGACTTGAACTGCAGAAATATTTATATATTCAACTTTTACACATATTTTCAGGAAATAGAGATGGATGCTTTTTTTTTTTTTTGTGAGAGAGTGTGTGTGAGCCAGGGAGGGGGGCAGAGGGGAGGAACAAAGGGAGACGGAGAGAGAGAATGTTAAGCAGGCTCCAAGCCCAGTGCAGAGCCCCACCCTCACAACCCTAAGAACATGGTCTGAGCTGAAATCAGGAGTCAGACACAGCCGACTGAACCACCCAGGCGCCCCGAGGTGGTTGGCTTTTTGTTGGCCTTAATCAAATAATCCCACACAAAGTTAGCATCCTTGCTCACAATGCATCTTATGTCTATCGTTCTTCTTTTAATATCAATTAATATGGGCATGATAACACTTACCGTTAGTGGGCCAGTTAGAGGGGAAATAACCTTTCAAAGGTAGTAGCTCCACCTCATTGATAGATGATGGTCCAAAGAAAGCACTACATGCAATAAAAGTATCCAATTCAAAGTCCAGGGTTTTTGAAACCACCCAAAGATCATCTGAAAAGACAAACATTTTTTTTTAAAGATTTTATTTATTTATTCATAAGAGACAGAGAGAGAGAGAGGCAGAGGGAGAAGCAGGGAGCCCGATGCAGAACTCGAACCCAGGACCTGGAATCATGACCTGAGCCGAAGGCAGAAGCTTAACCATCTGAGCCACCCAGGCACCCAAGACAAACATTTTTTAAAGAACTCAGAACTATGCTCAATTCAAAACTACTTTGGATTTCTTACATGCCTAGTCATATGTTATTTCTCCAAAACCAAAATTAGTTATTATCTACCAGATTCCACCCAAACTAAGATCTGAATAAGTAACATTTTCATGTTTTAATGCAATTACTTTTATGTTTTTAAAGTTATTTTATGATTATATTAAAAAATATAAATAAAGCAACATAACATCTAACTCATCTTTCTTATAAAACAACTTTATAGCTATATCAGACTTTCCCAAGGTAGAACATTAGTCTAAAAAGATGCTCTGCCATATAATGGTTTTCATGCACAAATAAAGTTGGCAATCTGTGGATAGAATACAAGTTCTCTTAACAGACTTCTACTTAACTGATGCTCTAGATTAATTAATGTTCTTCTTTCTGTATAACATGCCATCTCCACAGCATATTGAGTACTCATAGCTAGTAGGCTATTTCCCAGAATACCTGTACACCGTTTCTACCACCAGTTGAGTTAATACAAAGAGTCAATTGTATTTGTTCTAAAACTTATTTATACCAGTTGGATTAGTTATAATATTATAACTTAATCAGATATTATTTGAACCATTATGAGTATGAAGAAAAATAATTGTTGCTTTAAGAAAATTAAATAATTTAGAAAGACTTAAGATTTGCTTTAAAAATTTTAGCCACAAAACACAAAAAAACTGCCTTTGACTCAAGTATAGATGAGATATATGTAAAAGATTAGAAGAGATTGAAAAAATTTAAATCACTCTACACTTAGATTGGTTCACACGTTCTTGCTCCATGTTTAAGAATTCAGAGTGGTAAATCTTTTTTTTTTTTTTAAAGATTTTATTTATTTATTTGACAGAGAGAGAGTTAGCGAGAGCAGTAACACAAGCAGGGGGAGTGGGAGAGGGAGAAGCAGGCTTCCCGCTGAGCAGGGAGCCCGATGCAGGGCTTGATCCCAGGACCCTGGGATCATGACCCGAGCCGAAGGCAGACGTTTAACAACTGAGCCACCCAGGTGCCCCAGAATGGTAAATCTTTATGGGTGGTGTATTTGTGGGTATGGTATATACAAGATAAAAATGATCACCAATCAAAAAACCCATAGTCTAAGCAAAAGCCTTAATTCTTCATCAAAAGATCATTAAATAAAAATATATTCAAATATTTTAAGTTTAAATGTTCATATGCATTATTTATTATAATCCTTAACTTAAATGAACTTTGAAAATTAACTGACAAATCACGAGTCTCAACTGCATCATAAAAGATCATTTACTGGCTACATTCCCATCTTGGAAAGTCCAATGCATCAGCATATTTAAGGTTCTGAAAAATCTTAGATTAAGGTTATTTGCTTAACACAGCATTTTCCAAATTTATTTAAACACAGAATCTATTTTTTTTACATTGACTTTTATCAATACCCCCATAGAACTATTGTTTTAGAAAATGTTTATACTTTAGAAAAAGCTGATTTATATTATAGTATATTTTATATTTAATTTTTAAAAATATTTGCCGGGCGCCTGGGGCTCAGGCAGTTAAGCATCTGACTCTGGATTTCAGCTCAGGCCATGATCTCAGGGTCGTGAGATCGAGCCCCACCTGGGGCTCTGCGCTGAGCTTGGAGCCTGCTTAAGACTCTCACTCTCCCTCTGCCCCTCCCCTGTTCTCTGTCTCTCTCTCTCAAAAAGAAAAAAAAAATGCCAACTGAGGTAACATATAAACAATTTATTCCTTATTTGCTAATATTTATTTAATCTAACCATCACCACAATTTTTAAAAAGATCTCCAATTCAATATAGTTGACAGAAAAAAATTGTCCACCTTTCCTTTCTCTCTATATCCCACTGATATGGCAGGAAAAATTTAAAATACAAATCTAATATAATGTTAGAAAACAGCCAGTGGGAAAGGGAAAGGCATGCCTACCTCAGAGCAGTGAGATTCTTACAGAAGCCACAAAGAGAATAGTAAAGGATGATGATAAAAATCTTACAAATTTAGGAAACTCCTAATCCTTTATAGATGATAGAAAGGAATTCTGGGATTGGGGGAGAGAGGAAGAGTTTTCCCAGCAGATTCCCAGGATAACCCCAACTTCACCACCAAGGGGACAAGGAGGAATTTTGAGTGTCGAAGGTCAGCTGGGACATTAATTAATGGATGATGGAATAATCCTATCACTCTTGGAACAGCTGACTCCAGGATTTGTTTTGAGGCTAATTTAGTCTTTGGCTAAAACAAAGACTGCCAGGAGGACTTTAAGATAGAGAAACAGGGCAGCAAACTACATAACTACTGCCACCAGAGTTAGACAAATAGATCAGAATCTATTGGCAGGTCATGTATCTATGGGAATATATTTTTTTTTAATAAAATACAATAAGCCTGGTGCACCTGGCTGGCTTGGTGGAGCATGTGACTCAGGGTTGTATGTTTGAACACCACGTTGGGTGCTGAGATGACTTAAAAAAAATAAAATCTTAAAAAAACAATAACAACACTATGGACTCTGAGAAACAAACTGAGGGTTCTAGAGGGGAGGGGGGTGGGGGGATGGGTTAACCTGGTGGTGGGTAGTAAAGAGGGCACGTATTGAATGGAGCACAGGGTGTTATACGCAAACAATGAATCAGGGAACACTACATCAAAAACTAATGATGTAATGTATGGTGATTAACATAACATAATAAAAAAAAATAAAGTAAAAAAAAAAAAAAAACAGTAACAACAAAAAACCCCACACAGTAACACATATTATATTCTGGGTCAACAGACATTTTAAATGTCAGACAGGTGCTATTATTATCACCATTTTATTGATGAAGGAAGACTGAGGCCCAAAGAAGTTAAATAAATTATCCATAGATACAAGGCCAGTAAATGGCAGATCTGGGACTAAACCCAACTCCCTGACCTCACTGGAGCTAACCAGGCTGGGGTCCACCTTCACCCATTTGCATTGCCAGAAACAGCAGCTGATACCACCAGGGGAAAATTCGTTTACAGGCCAAAATAATGAGACATTTAAGAAGAACAAAGACTTCAAAGAAAAACATACTGGATTACAGAGTCCTACAGAAAAGGAAATACCAGAACAGATGGACAAATAATTTAAATTTAGCCTGAAAAGAGATTTTTTTTATGAGATAAGAGATGATAGTAGCAATGCAAAATAAGACCAAGAAAATAAGGAAAAAGAAATGAACAAAAATATTAGGTTGAAAAATATTGTAGTTGAAATAAAGTTATAACTGATGGGATAAACAGCAGAATGGATATATCTGAGGAATAACTAAGCAATTTAGAAGACCATACTGAGGATGTTTCCCAGAAAGAAGAAGGGACAAAAGCCCAGACAATATAAAAGAAATGTTGAGAGTCAAAGATGCTAATATTGGAAAAGTCCTAGAGTGAGAAATAAAAATAAAATGAAGATTATTTGAAGAAATAGTGGAAATCAATTTCCCAGAATTTAAAAAATAGAAAAGATAAAAGACTTTAGTATTTTTTTTAAGACTTTTATTTATTTATTTGAGAGAGAGAGATAGAGAGAGCACAAGCAAGGGGAAGAGGGAGAAGCAGGCTCCCCACTGAGCAGGGAGCCCCACGTAGGGCTCGATCCCAGGACCTGGGACCACGACCTGAGCCGAAGGCAGACACTTATTAACCGACTGAGCCACCCAGGTGCCCTGACTTCAGTATTTAAAAAAAAAAAAAAAAAAAAAAAACAAAACACCCTATGGAGATATAAATGACATACAAAAAGCTATATATATTTAATGCTTATACTGGATGAGTTTGGAGATAGAGGACTTTAGACTTAAAAGGCCAACAGTGTGCCCAAGAGGAGAAAAAGGAAAAACTCTTATTTAGATACATTATAGGGAAATATAAGACTAAAAGTCAGAGAAAAATTAAAATTCTAAAGCTTCCAACCAGAAAGAGCAAATAACATGTAAAGGAGTAAGAATCATAATGCCACCAGATTTTTCAACAGCAAGCACATAACCAAGTATGTTAATATTTACTTAAAACATATAAAATTGCTGCTTCTGTAGGCCCAAAGTATTAAATGAAAAGAACTTAAGGGGCGCCTGGGTGGCTCAGATGGTTAAGCGTCTGCCTTCGGCTCAGGTCAAGATCCCAGCGTCCTGGGATCGAGTCCCGCATCAGGCTCCCTGCTCCCTGGGAGCCTGCTTCTCCCTCTGCCTCTCTCTCTCTCTGTCTCTCATGAATAAATAAATAAAATCTTAAAAAAAAAAAAAAAAAAGAAAAGAAAAGAACTTAAAACCTAGAATTCTAAATGTAGCAGAACTATCATTCAAATATGAATGTACAATAAAAATATTCTCAAGTATTCAAGGCTTAGGAGGTTTACCATTCAAAGACCTACATTCAAAATAGTTTTTGATGAAATATATTAATGAGAAAAATCCAGAAGATGCTAAAAGGGAAACATGAAATAAATGTAATTAAATTACCTTGGACAAGTTTAGAGGCCTCTTTTAAAAGGTAGTTATGTTCAAGGATAGGAAATAAATCCATACTAACCTAAAATTTATGGATTTACATTAGTGCTATTCAAAGTAGTCTATCTTAAATAGTTTTGTTTTTGGTCTGCAACATGAAGTTTGTGCTAGAATGCAATCAACAAATCAATATAATGCTTCCTTCATTCAGAAATTTAAAATACAACTGACTCCTGAACAATATGGAGGTTAGGGGTGCTGAACTCCCGCAGTCAAAAATCTGCATATAACTTTCAACTCCCCCAAACTTAACTAATAATAGACTACTGGCCAGAAACCTTACAGATAGCATAAACAGTTGATTAACACATATTTTGTGTGTTATATGAATTATATGTTATATTCTTATAATAAAGATAGAAAAAAATATTAAGAAAATCATAAGAGAGGGGCGCCTGGGTGGCTCAGTCATTAGGCGTCTGCCTTCGGCTCAGGTCATGATCCCAGGGTCCTGGGATCAAGCCCCGCATCAGGCTCTCTGCTCAGCGGGGAGCCTGTTTCTCCCTCTCCCACTCCGCCTGCTTGTGTTCCCTCTCTCACTGTCTCTCTCTGTCAAATAAATAAATAAAATCTTTAAAAAAAAAAAGATCATAAGAGAAAATATATTTATAGTACTGTACTGAATTTATTAAAAAAGTCATGTATAAGTAGACCTGCACAGTTCAAACCTATGTTGTTCAATAGTCAAGTGTATGCTCTTTAGGAATTCATTTATATAAACCTATAAACAAAGAGAAGCAAGATGCTGATGAACACAGGGATGAAAATGATAATCACTTTAGGAGAGACAGCCAGATGAGTTATTGGGGTTACTCTATATTAAACGTAGGTAGCTATAAAGGTACTTGATTTTGCTTTGGTTTATAGATTCACAGACACATTATTTAAAATAACTAAATAATTAAAGCAAGCTACATGAGGACCAATGATAGGAGTAGGTCATGAAACCAAAGATAATGATTAACCCAATTTAGCGCATCTAAACACCTTAGAAAAAATTCTTTTAAGGATTTTACTTCCAAATATATAAAACTTGTGGTCCATTGTTGTCAAATTGTGCAATGACAGAAATATCAAGAAAATCATTGCATTTTCAGTTTATTTTTGATATTAGGTCAGAGTACAACTGAATTAATATAGTTATTTATATAATGCTGAGAAGCTAGTACAATTTCTTAAACAAAATTAAATAGATTTGAGGATCCTTTAGTAAAGTTTTTTAAAAAACTAAAATTTTAAAATATGCGTTTTGGAAATGGTCCAATTTATTATACAATAATTCACAATATATGCTACTATTAAACAGTATTTTATAAAACCTCTTTAATATAAAGAATTTACAGAGCTGTTATGTAACTGAGATACAAGGCTAGACTCAGTTACCAAAATGATCAATTAACTTACTTTTGCTGTATGTTGAAGAACTTTCCTTCCGACTCAGCTTAAGATAAAGTTTGCTTTTAGGTTCAGTATAAAATTCAGGATTTACAGTAGTAAACTTCTTTAGTTTGCCATACTGCTTTCTTTGAAAATCAATTCCTTTTCTGAAAAATGAGTAAAAAATAAAAATGAATTTAAGTATTAAGGTACAAATTTTTTACTGAGATATAAATGTCATACAACATTATAGTAGTTTCAGATGTACAATAAAATGGTTTGATATATGTATATATTATGAAATGATCACCACAGTAAGTATAGTTAACATCCATCACCACAGGTACAAATTGTTCTCCTTGTGATGAGCATTTTTTAAAAAATTTATTTATGTATTTGGTGGGGGAGGGGCAGAGAGAATCTCAAGCAGACTTACCGCTGAGCACAGAGCCAAATGTGGGGCTCGATCTCATGACCCTGAGATCAGGAACTGAGCCAAAATCAAGAGCTGGACGCTTAACTGATTGAGTCACCCAGGTGCCTAAGAGGAGCACTATTAAGATCTACTCTCTTAGCAACTTTTAAATATATAATACAGTATTATTAACTACAGTTACCATACTGTACATTATAATTCCAGGACTTACTTTATAAGTGGAAGTTTGAAGGTACAAATCTTTTTCTTTTCATCTTTAAAATACAATATTAAAAGGAAAGAACCAGGGTGAATGTATGTTTATGTACTTTCATACATGTACACAAAATAAAAAAGTATTGTGTCAAAGGAAGAAAATAGCAACCATCACAGAATTATTATTAGTTTTAAAAGAGACTGAGATAGGAAAAGTATCCAAGAAGTATATAAAAGAGTATATCTCAGTTTTAATAACTATAATAAATTATCCCCATTATTTCCCTATTTTCTAGGTTATTATGATGATTAAATGAAATAATACATGCAAAGTGCTTAGAAGAGTGCAGAGCATGTATGAACTCCCCATAGATGTTATTAAATTACCATGCAAATGTTCATTATAGCTACATTTTGGATAATCCCACTTTTATAAGACATGTTTCCAAAATGTAGCATTCTGGGGGCACCTGGGTGGCTCAGTCCTTAAGCGTCTGCCTTCGGCTTGGGTCATGGTCCCAGGGTCCTGGGATCGAGCCCCACATTGGGCTTCCCACTCAGTGGGAAGCCTGCTTCTCCCTCTCCCACTCCCCCTGCTTGTGTTCCTGCTCTCACTGTCTCTGTCAAATAAATAAAATCTTTAAAACAAAACAAAACAGGGGCGCCTGGGTGGCTCAGTCGGTTAAGCAACTGCCTTCGGCTCAGGTCATGATCCCAGGATCCCAGGTCCCAGGATCGAATCCCACATCGGGCTCCCTGCTCAGCAGGGAGTCTGCTTCTCCCTCTGACCCTTCCCCCTCTTATGTGCTCTCTCTCACTCTCTCAAATAAATAAATAAATAAATAAAATCTTTAAAAAATAAAAATAAAACAAAACAAAATGTAGTATTCTATTACCCTATAAAACTACCTAGTTCAGGCTTATGAATGACCACTATTATCCTGCACTGATAAAAATTATTCTTATGGTTGATTGTGACTGTATATAAAAATGATTAGAGGGGCACCTGGGTAGCTTAGTCATTAAGCTTCTGCCTTCGGCTCAGGTCATGATCCCAGGGTCCTGGGATTGAGCCCCACGTCGGGCTCCCTGCTCTGCGGGAAGCCTGCTTCTCCCTCTCCCACTCCCCCTGCTTGTGTTCCTCTCTTGCTGTCTCTCTGTCAAATAAATAAATAAATAAATCTTAAAAAAATTTAAAAAATGATAAGAAAAATAGCATGCCTGCCAGTCACCTTCATATTGTTGACACTGCTTGATGTTTAGAGGGGGCCAAATATAGCTTTAGAAAATTATTCCCATTTTACAGTTAGAAAAGCTGAGGCTTTAGATACTTTTAGATATTTTTTCTATCTCAATCTCTTTTAAAACTAATGATAATCAGGGCCCCCTGGTGGCTCAGTTGGTTAAGCATCTGACTCTTGATTTCAGCTCAGGTCCATGCTCAGTGGAGAGTCTGCTTGAGATTCTGCCCCCCCGCGCCTCTGCTCCACCCCCAACTCGCTATCTCTCTCACTCTCTCTCTAAAATAAATAAATAAACCTTTAAAAAAAAACAAATGATGACAATCATGTAAGGTTATTATTTTCTGATATAATTACAGGCATTATTTGGTACCAAGAAACATACCTCACCAAAAGTTGGCATTCCTCAAAGAGCGGAATCTTTTGACTTCTTAAGTATAAGCCAATACTCTTTATATCACTTAAAACCATGCTAGGTAGACAGTCTTCTTGTGTTAAATATTCTGGGGTCATTTCTTCAAGCCACTTGAAAAATTTACATCGGTCAACTTTGGGTCCATCACAGGTATAAAAGAGACGACCCTAAGAGGAAAAAGATACTACAATTTAGTAAGAGAAATTTTATATTTTACTGTTTTTGTATTGTGTTTGTCAAGACTTGTGTCTGGCATTAACGTACTCCAATAAATTATTCATTATACAAGTTAATCTTTTTATTAATATCAATTTAAACACATTAAAATTTAAAACCACCTACCTTTCCATTTATTTTCTCCTTATCAAAAAATTACATTATCCTGAGAATATAAGCTTATTTGAAAAATAAAATTTATTGTTTTCCCCATTTAAAATGTTCACTATAGAAAACCAGAAAGCTACCCAGAAACAACTACAAGAAATACCTTGTGCATTTCTTTTTGGCCTTTTTTGTCATTCACATAAGTGTGTGCACATGCACATGAAAATATACACATGCATACTGTTTTAAAAAAAAATAAAACTCAGATAATGATGTGTTTTCTACTCCATAACCTAACCTTTACACACAACATACTGTACACATGACAACAATGTCATCAAATTATCTTAAAAAGAAAAAAAAGACTTGATGGTTCTATATTTTATTCTATGGTTATATTATATTTAAGAATTGTTGCTTTTTGGGGCCCTGGGCGGCTCAGTCATTAAGCGTCTGCCTTCGGCTCGGGTCATGATCCCAGGGTCCTGGGATCGAGCCCCGCATTGGGCTCCCTGCTCCACAGGAAGCCTGCTTCTCCCTCTCCCACTCCCCCTGCTTGTGTTCCCTCTCTCGCTGTGTCTCTCTCTGTCAAATAAATAAATAAAATCTTTAAAAAAAAAAAAAATTCTTGCTTTTGACAACTGAATTTATATCTAAATTTATATATGAAATACATAAACCTTTTACTAACTTGACTTCTTCTATAATAATACATTATCAGCAATGTAAATTAAATTATTATGTTTTATATTCCTAAGGCCTTATCTTTTACTCATACTGGAGATTACATAATAGACTACTTCAACTTTCACTTCTTTCAGGCTCATCTCTGCATTCTCTAAGACGTCAGGTTGGGAGATAATCTTTTCTCAGTGCTCTAACTGTAACTTGGGCATATCCCTCCTACTGTATCAGTTACACTATTATACAAAATTTCCTTTTATGTTTCTTTCTCCATCCACCACTATGTAATAAGTTCCTAAGCAATCTGAAGGATGATCTTTTTTTTTTTAAAGATTTTATTTATTTATTTGACAGAGAGAGAGAGAGACAGCAAGAGAGGGAACACAAGTAGGGGGGAATGGGAGAGGGAGAAGCAGGCTCCCCACTGAGCGGGGAGCCCAATGCGGGGCTCAATCCCAGGACCCTGGGATCATGACCTGAGCCGAAGGCAGTCGCTTAACCGACTGAGCCACCCAGGCGCCCCTTGAAGGATGATCTTAACTCATACTTTTGTATCCTAGAACACAGATAATCTTTCAATAAAAATTTCCTGGGAGTTTACTGTATGTTAGTTACTAACACCTCAAGTGGCTCCTAATCAAGACTTGATCTTTAACTAAGCTTGTCATAAAGCAACAGGTACCTACACTTTTTACAAGTTTTTGGTGGGGCAACAGGCAAGGAAGGGAACAATACCTTATTTGGACCTTCCTTTTTAACCATGACAAGTTTTGCAGGTTGATGATGATGGCAGGATGGCACATTACTTTCTACATTTTTCAGTTTCTCTCCCTTTAATGATGTGTAAAATGATATGTCAACTTTTGAAAGAGCTTTGTGCAACCTCTGTGCCAACCCAAACAGCAATATATTTAGATGTTCTACAAAAAAAAAAAAAAGATAAGTACAGATGAAAACTAAATACAAAATAATTGTTTGTATCATGTGTATTGTTAGCTAAATTTAAAAAAAGCCTTTTAACAGAGTAATCTATAACCTAATGCTAATATCCACTTTTTTAAAGTTAAGTTTTGTCCTTGTACAACAAAAAGAACTATCAAAACTAATCATGCATCATGTTTAAAATTTCTTAACAAAACCATTTGTAACACTTCTAGTTTAAAAAAAATGAAAAATTATAACTTGAAAAAGGTAATACTGTCATTTCCCACTTATGAAACTCAATTTGACCTGCAATTAGAATATGTTACTGTTGAAAACCGGAGGAAACATGGAAAATAACAAATCTCAAGTAGAGAATTTAATATGAAAAGTCACAGTATATTATGCTTTCTCGCAGCTATACTACTTACACTAAGCAGCAATTAATCATAATAAAATAGAAAGACAACAGTCATACCTATGAGACAAGATGTAAAAATCTGCTTATAATGAGCAGGAGACTGAAAAACAGCTGGTATATGAATTTGCCTTTGGGGAAGACAAGCAGATTTTATTTTCTGCCCACTTGGGAAGCATAGCTCAGAGCCATTTATCTCCTGAAATGGAATAATTCAAGTTATTATAACAACTCCAGAAAAATACTGTTTACTACTGAGTAAATTACTTTCTATAGATATATTTAACACATTTTTCTTTTAATTTTCAGAATTCTTAAAAATCATTTGCTAATTTTAAATGAGACAGTAATATAGCAAGAATGGCTATGCATAGCACTTTTTTTTTTGAGGCATGTGCATTTTTTTATTATGTTAATCACCATACATTACATCATTAATTTTTGATGTAGTGTTCATGATTCATTGTTTGCATATAACACCCAGTGCTCCATTCAGTATGTGCCCTCTTTAATACCCATCACCAGGCTAACCCATACCCCCACCCCCCTCCCCTCTAGAACCCTCAGTTTGTTTCTCTGAGTCCATAGTCTCTCATGGTTCGTCTCCCCTTCCGATTTCCCCCCTTCATTTTTCCCTTCCTGCTATCTTCTTTTTTTTTTTTAACATATAATGTATTATTTGTTTCAGAGGTACAGGTCTGTGATTCAACAGTCTTTACACAATTCAAGTGCTGTGAATTGCATAGCACTTTTAATCATGTAAATAAAACTAAATGTTTTTTGTCTGTCCCTTAATAAGTTTTTAGTTTTTGCTAGGAAAAACTTAGCTGATAAGAACAAGATTATGGGGGCGCCTGGGTGGCTCAGTGGTTAAGGGTCTGCCTTCGGCTTAGGTCACAATCCCAGGGTCCTGGGATCAAGCCCCGCATCAGGCTCCCTGCTCTGCAGGAAGCCTGCTTCTCCCTCCCCCACTCCCCGCTGCTTGTGTTCCCTCTCTCGCTGTGTCTCTGTCAAATAAATAAAATCTTAAAAAAAAATACATATATATGTGTATATATATATGTATATATATATGAATAACATTATGTGCATTATGTGTTTCAATTTATGGTTACAACTACAATAATTGTGCACAACCAATGCATAATAAGATGTAACTTTACCTTAACAATGATCTGATTGGCAAAACTGAACTGATAGTGAAAAATGAGAACAATCACAGTAATAGTAGTAGTGGAAGTGGAAACAGTTGGAGCTATAATTTATTAAGTATTTATTATGTGCCAGACACTGCACCAGACACTTTCAAATATATAATTTCATTTAATGCTCACACTACTAGGAAAGATTTTAAGTCAAAGAAGATATGACTATACCTAGAGTTCTGGAAAACTCAAATAAGGGAAAGAAAAAAAAAAAAAAAAAAAAGCCATCCACTCCAAGAGTAAAATCATTGCTCCTATATGATTTTGGTAATTCTTCTGTTAAAATTCAGACAGTAACTATTGGAAAAAATGCACCAAGATACATTGGTACACTTCCTCACCTGTAAATTTCCTGTTACACTGTAGATGTAGCAGGCAGACTCTCTTAACATGTTTTGAAGTTTTTCAGTCTTGGAAGTCTGCTTTATACTCAAAGAGAGTGCTTTCTTTCTGGGAACCAAATCTTGACTGCTAAAATCCTGCTGCTGTTGATGGAGCATGCCTTTTAACATTTGCAAATGCATAGAGTCTAAAGAGCTTTTATTCACAGCATCATTCTGTTTTTCACCTGTGTCACTAAAATGTGTCCCAGATATAACCTCAGCAGAGAAGCCATCTGTTACTTTCTTATCGACTCTGTTTGAAGTAGTCAAATTGCACTGGGGTATGTTCTGATATTTCAGCCACTTGCTTTGAGTAGATACATTATTGAGAAGTAAAACGTCCCTTGGAGTTATTTCTCTAGATTCTTTACAGAAGGAAGTTTCACTTTGGTCCTCAAGCCCACAGCGAAAAGAAAGAACTCCTGAATCTTCACACAAATTGAGTATGTGGGGGGAACCAGAAGATTCTTGCCTGTCACAGTTGATCACGTATGAACAAGCATCTAAATCAGGTGACCTTTCAGCAGGTGGCAAGGTAATAAGTGGAACTCGGGTTCTACTTACTATTGGAAGCCTTTGAAAGTTCTTATTCTCCAGAGAACTGGATTTTTTGATAACTGGGGAGGAAAAAAAAAGAGCTGATTAAATAAAAAAAAGTATTACAGTCATCACCTAGGCTCTAAAAACCAGTAGCTATCTGTACAAAAAAGAAAAAGTACCAACTTGCCTTGAAAAAATAATAATAATTTTATTTCCTTTTCCATAATAAAAAAATTTTAATGATTTTAGTCTCAAAAAATAAAGATTTCAAAGCTTAAGAGACTCAAACTTTAAGGTTGATGAACTTGCAATCCTTCTCTTTTTCTTTTCCCCCTTAGCTAAGGATTCACCCCCGCCCCCACCAATCACTAGATTATATTTATATAGCACTTAAGTTTTCAAAGTCCTTTACAGGCAAGAAGGGATTTAGTATTCTTATTTTACGGATGAGACTACCAAGACCTAGAGGTAACATGACTACTGACTGGTAGAGTCAGGACAAATACTCAGAACTTGTTTGTGCTCAACCTTACATTCCTACTCCAGAGACTGAAGTTCATGGTTTATTTATCTGACCATGTGACTATAACTTCCTTTATATTTACTACACTCATGAATTAGTATGTTAACATTCAGGGTAAAGAAGGTATTTAGCCTTATTCTGATCTATTGGTATGTGATAAGAGTTCAGTTCTGGTAAACTCATGTTATGGCAGATCTTAGCTGAGTTTTAGAATTCCTTTTTTCAGGTGCGCCAGGGTGGCTCAGTCATTAAGTGTATGCCATCAGCTCAGATCATGATCCCAGGGTCCTGGGTTCGAGCCCCTCATCGGGCTCCCTGCTCTGTGGGAAGCCTGCTTCTCCCTCTCCCACTCCCCCTGCTTGTGTTCCCTCTCTCGCTGTGTCTCTCTGTCAAACAAATAAAAATCTTAAAAAATAAAAAAATAATTTCTTTTTTTAGCAGTGTTAGTAATAGATATATTCCTGAAAATATAAAAAGCAATAATAAATATTTGTTGAATAAATAAATGAATGAATACTACTACATGGAAAGTATATAAGCTTAAAGTTTTTATCTGACAATGCTATGGTTTCCTATTTTATGATAATGTACCTTCTTGACAGACTTATTATTTGTTGGAAATAAACTCTGGAGATCACTTGGGAAGGTAGTAGAGCAGTAGGTGAGCCAAAGATATTCTTCTATAATGTTAGATTATAATTCTAACAAGTCAATCAAGCAACACTGACAGAAAAGTTAAAACCTCATTAAAGAGTAAAAGACTGGCATAAAAACAGACATATATATCAATGAAAGAGAATAATAGAGTCCAGAAATCAGTCCACACTTATATGGTCAATTAATCTATAACAAAGGAGGCAAGAATATACAATGGGGAAAATCTCTTAAACAACTGGTGTTGGGAAAACCAGACAGCTACATGCAAAAGAATAAAACCGGACCACTTTCTTACACCATAAACAAAAATTAACCTGAAATGGATTAAAGACCTAAATGTGAAACCTAAAATCATAAAACTCCTAAAAAACAACATAGGCAGTAATTTCTTTGACATTTGCCATAGAAACATTTTTCTTTTTTCTTTTTTTTTTTTTTAAGATTTTATTTATTTATTTGACAGAGAGAGAGCCAGTGAGAGAGGGAACACAAGCAGGGGGGGGAGGGAGAGGTTGAAGCAGGCTCCCTGCACAGGGCTCGATCCCGGAACCCCGGGATCATGACCTGAGCCGAAGGCAGATGCTTAATGACTGAGCCACCCAGGCTCCCCTAGAAACATTTTTCTACACATGTCTTTTCTGATAAGAGAAACAAAAACAACATTAAAAACTATTGGGACTACACCAAAATAAAAAGCTTTTGGACAGCAAAAGAAACCATCAACAAAAGAAAAAGGCAATGTACAGATTGGAAGAAGGTATTTGCAAATGATATATCAGATAAGGGGTTAATATCCAAAATACATAAAGAACTACAACTCAACACCAAAAAACCACAAGTAACTCCATTAAAGTGGGCAAAGGATATGAAAAGACACTTTTCTTTTTTTTCTTTTAAATTTATCTATTTATCTTAGAGAGAGAGTGAGCACATGCGCAGGGGGAGAAGCAGAGGGAGAATGATAGAATCCTCAAGCAGACTCTCCGCTGAGCATGGAGACTGATGTAGCTTGACATCAGAACCCTAAGATCATGACCTGAGCTGAAATCAAGAGTCGGCCGCTTTACTGACTGAGCCATCCAGGCACCCCTGAATAGACATTTTCCAAAGACATACTTATGATCAACAGACACATGAAAAAATGTTCAACATCACTCATCATCAGGGAAATGCAAATTAAAACCACAATGAAATACCACTTTACACCTGTCAGAATGGCTAAAATAAAAAAAGACAAGAAATAACAAGTGTTGACAAGGATGTGGAGAAAAAGAACCCTATGCACTGTTGGTGAGAATGCAAGTTGGTGTAGCCACTATGGAAAACAGTATGGAGGTTCCTCAAAAAATTCAAAATAGAAGTACCATATGATACAGTAATTCCACTACTGGGTATTTACTGAAAGAAAAGGAAAACACTAATTTGAAAAGATATATACACCCCCATGTCTACGCAGCATTATTTTCAACAGCCAAGATATGGAATCAACCCAACTGTCCATCCTTAGATGAATGGATAAAGAAGATGCAGTACACACACACACACACACACACACACACACACACACACCATGGAATATTAGTCAATAAAAAGAATGAATCCTTGCCATTTGCAACAACATGGATGGACCCAGAGGGTATAATGCTAGGTGAAATAAATCAGAGTAAGACAAACACCATATGATTTCACCCATATGTGGAATTTAAGAAATAAAACAAAGAAAAAAGGAGATAAACAAAATAACAGACTCTTAAATACAGAGAACAAACTGGTGGTTGCCAGAGGGGAGATGGGTGGGGGGAGGAGTGAAATAGATAAAGGGAGTTAAGAGCACACTTATCTCAGTAAGCACTGAGAAATGTATAAAATTGTTGCATCATTGTATTATACACCTGAAACAGAATACTACATGTTAATTATACTTGAATAAAAAATTAAAAATAAATAATTTTAAAAATAAAGAGTGAAAGACTCACGGTCTAACTATGAAAATCATCTATTATTCCATTGTCACTTCACTTGTTAGGTACCAATCCTCCCACAATGACTCTTCCCTACCTTGTTTTCTCTACCAACCACACCCAGTAAACCTTTTCCAACCCAACTACTCATTCACATTACAAAGTTTTTCTTTTTTATATCATCCACCCATGACCAAAAAAATTACGTACAACTTCACCCCTTACCTAATATGGCTTTGGAATCAGGGGAAGATCCGTTGGTGAAATTACAAAAAAAGAAGAAAAATTAGTGGAAAGAATCCTACAGAATGTACTGTACTTACCAAGAAGCAGGAAATTACTCATAGGGAAGAGTCAAAATATATGAAAACATGGAGACCTGGAAATACAACTATGGAAGCAGCAGCTGAAGAGCTCCCTGATATTGCCAGGATCCCAGAGCAAACACAGGGGAAAGTAAGAGGTTAGACCACAGTCAACTAATGGTGTAAATGAAACATTCATAATGAACCGTTCCCCTGGGAGGGGAGTGGGCAATTGAGGGGCCTGGCTCTGGAGTCAGAGCTATGAGAAGAACTGTAATGACAGAAGAGACTTTCAGAGGTCCATGATGAGAAACTGACAGGCAAAATAAGAAGGAACCTGTGAATTAGAAGGAAATACTGTATTTGGAAGTAAGGACCATCTGAAATAGAAAAAGGATGTGGGAAAGCTTGAGGGGTATGACACTGAATCTGGTCCCAAGATTATTTTTAGTTTAGTAACAATTTCTCAAATAAAAAACTTCATTTTACACAGAGAGATATTAGAGGACTATGATAGTAACTAAGTTGAGGAAGTGAAGGTCACCAGGTAAAGTTCTTTCTTTCAGGGACTCCTCAGAGAATTCTAGCACAAAGTCTTCATCTCTTGAGTTCAAAGAAAAAGTAGAAACAGGGTTTAATGTAGAGTTCTTTTGTTCTGGTGATGTCACCTATTCAGAAAGAAAAAACAAAACTACTGACCAAAATGTTATTACATTTTTTCCCTATAGTTTGAATGAATTCTAATAATCTACATTATAAAAATAATGCTTTCAAGCACATTATGAAGAGCTATAGTAGGGCAAAGATTCTTCCCAAAAGGGCAGGATAGAATAAACTCACTAAAGTCAATAATAATAATAAAAAGTAAAATACAGAACATAAAAACTACTGGATTTATGGGGCTCAGTCAGTGGGTGGCTCAGTAGGTTAAGTGTCTTAACTTGGGCTCAGGTCATGATCCCAAGTCCTGAGATCGAGTCCCACATTGGGCTCCCTGCTCAGCAGGGAGCCTGCTTCTCCCTCTGCCCCTCCCCCTGCTTGTGCTCTCTCTCTCTCTCTCTCTCTCTGTCTGTCAAATAAATAAATAAAATCTTTTTAAAAAATAAGTAAAAAGGGGCTCCTGGGTGGCTCAGTCGTTGAGTGTCTGCCTTCAGCTCGGGTCATGATCCCAGGGTCCTGGGATCAAGGCCCGCGTCGGGTTCCCTGCTCAGCGGGAAGCCTGCTTCTCCCTCTCCCACTCCTCCTGCTTGTGTTCCCTCTCTTGCTGTGTCTTTCTGTCAAGTAAATAAATAAAATCTTTTAAAAAATAAATTAAATAAATAAATAAATAAATAATAAAAACTACTGGATTTATTTGAAATGGGTCAGATTCTGATTTAGATTGATCTGGGTTATGGAGATTTGGTTCTGAAGATGAATTTCCAGTCGAAGGGGCTTAAGATGAACTCAGACCTCATGTTTAGAGCTGTGAAAGTAAAACTTCCTGCAGACTCAAGGAATAAACAGCTTTCTCTTAATGTCTTCAGGTCTAGGGTTTATCTACAGTTGACCTAAATCTCAAAATATTGCTCCCAAATGGAGTGAACTTTTTTGATATATTCCAGACCTGAAGTCATATTATTATGTTATTCTCCTTATAACAGTATTTAATTTTCTTGCTGCTTCCAGAAATTAATCACCTTAAAAATCTAATATGATGATCACATTTAATATATATATATTTGTATAACAATAGAATAAAAGAATAAAAGTTTGGAAGAATGCATACCAAACTGTTAAGAATGGTTGGTTTCTAATGGAGGTGGAATTAGGGGAAAAGTGTTCTTGAAACTTTATATACTTCTGAATGATTTAAACTTGTTAGAATGTATCTGTTTATTTTTTTAGTAAATTACAATAAAGATAAAAATTTATATACAAGTTTTAAAACACTTTCTTGATTAGCCACTTGGTTCTAGGTGCTGTGCTAGGAAATAAGGATGTGAAGATGAATACTCATGATCCTCACACCCAAGGAGTTCAATTTAGTAGAAGAAACAAACTAATGAGAAATTACAGTCAATCATCACCATGGTAATAGTCTTACTATATTTACAAATTCTTACTGTGTGCCAGGGAGTATCCTAAGCACCTTATATTTTTAACTTATTTGATCCTTACCACAATCATAGGAGATTGGTACTCCCATTTTTCCTTATTCTACCACTTAGAGAACTGAGAAAGAGTAGTTAAACAATTAAACTTGTTTAAATTCACCCAGCTTATTAGCAGCAGAGTTGGCATTCAAACCTAGGCAGTCTCCATTGTATTACACCTTCAACAAAAGTAACAATAAGAGGCAGTACTTCCTGAGTATTACACACTGAGTATTACATCCACAGTGCATTCTCTACAAACTGGCCACAGAGTTCTTTCTAAACATAAGTTCAACTATTTCCTTCCTCTCATTAAAACTCTAATGGTTCCCAAACTCTCTCAAAGTACAAGAAGGTTCTGAAAATGTCCTGTGCAGCTGCCCTGTAAGATCAGGCCCTTTACTTCCTCTTTGATCTCACTTCCTACCACTCTCCATTCATTCATTCCAGGGCTACCTCCTTGCTGTTCTACAAATTGGCCAGCATTCCCCTGCCTCAAAACCTCTCTACTTACTATTCCTTGTGCCTGGAATGCTCTCCCTCCAGATATCTGCATGGCATGTGTGTGCTCTCCCTTCCTCTCTCTCCTTCTAGATCTTTACTCCAGTGTCATTTTATTAGAGGCCCTATTTTACCTATAAAATAGAACTCTATCCCCTTTACACAGCTTTATTGTTCTCCATAGCACTTAAAACCCTCTGAGGTACTATATACTTGCTTATTGTCTGTTTCCTTTCATTAGAACGCAAGTTCCAGGAAAGCAGATCTTTGCCTGGTTTATTCACAGGCCTATCTCTAGCACGTACAACAGTGTAACACACAATAGTTGCTCAAAAAATATTTGAGGAATGAGTGACTGATTGACTAAATATGCTAATCTTTTTAAGGAGTTTTCTGCATCTATAGTCACTACTTCTCACGTCTCATTTACTATTAAATATACTCTAAACTGGTTTCTACCCTCACTATTTCACTGAAACTGCTCTTACCAAAGTCACCGATGATCTCCAACTTGCCAAATGAACAGTTTCTTTCACTTTACAACAATAACTGACATAACTAGCCCTCTCCACCTCCCAATTCTTGAGAATGGGATATAACATTCTCCTTTCTCTACACACTCTTGAAATGAACCCCTCCATTCTCAGTACTTTAAACTTTGCTATGTGCAAATGACCACACAAACTTCTCTGAGCCAGACCCAGGTACCCAACTTCTAACTTCCTATCTCTACTTGACTGGCTCATGGGCATTCCTTGTCTGTGTCTGTATATTCACCAAACATGCTTCTCCCTGCTGTGGACTGAAATGTGTCCCCCACAAATTCATATGTTGAAGTTTTAACCCCCAATGTAACTGTATTGGGAGATAGGGCCTCTAAAAGATAACAAAGTGTAAATGATAAAGGAGGTCATCATAAGAGTGGGGCCCTGATATGACAGAATTGGTGTCCTTATAAAAAGAGAGCTTGCATTCACTTGCTCTCTTTCTCTCCACATGTACACACCCAGGAAAGGCCCTGTCAGGATATAATGAGAAGGTAACCATCATAAAGAGAGTCCTCATCAGAGACCAAATTAGCCAAAGCCTTGATCTTGGACTTCTAACCTCCAGAACTATGACAAAATAAATTTCTGTTGTTTACGAGACCCATCCCGTGGTATTTTGTTCTGGCAATCTCAGCTCCTCCATCTTACTCCACTCAGTGAAAACCACCGCAGTCTACACAACTGTTAAGTCAGACAGCCAGGAATCTTTCTTCTCCATTTTTCTTCACCCTACTATCTATATTCAATCCAGCAACATCCATGCTTCTAACTCCTTTCACTGCCACAATCCCTACCTGCAAGTCCTTATCATTCAAGGCTCCTCTTAACTGGTTTCCACCAGCAGTGCTCACTAAACCCATCTTCCATAGAGCAGCCAGCAAAACCTTTTAAAAAGGTGAATTAAGTCATGTGGCTTTCTGCTGAAAACACTTCATGGATTTCCCAGTGGAACATAGAGTACTATCAAAATTCTTAACCTCGACTGCAAGACTGTGTATCTGGTCCTGCTCACTTTTCCAATCTCTAAGTACCACTCTCCCTTTCACTCACTACAATCCCGTTACTTTGGTTTTCTTCCACTTTCTCAAGCTCACTCAACTTTTTCCAATCCCGCAGTATTTACACTTGCAGTTTCTTTGCAAGGTATGTTCTTCCCCTCACTGCTGCCATAGCTGGAGAAGCCTTCCTAATTACCCATAAAGTAGATTCCCCTATAATTTCAGAGTACTTTGACAGCTTTCCTACATAGCAATTATTTCAATTTATTTGTTTGCTTGTTCTCTTGATTAACATCTCTCTCCCTCCTTTAAACGTCTCAACCTCTTTCTCCTTGGCCTTTAAAGACAGGGATCAGGGGCACCTGGGTGGCTCAGTCAGTTGAGCATCCAACTCTTAATTTCGGCTCCAATCATGATCTCAGGGTCATGAGATCGAGTCCAGCTCAGCTCTACACTCAGCACGGAGTCTGCTTGACATTCCTCCCTCTCCCTCTGCTCCTCCCTCCACTCACTTGCTCTAAATAAATTAATAAGTAAAATCTTTAAAAAAAAAAAAAAGGGGAGATCATACCTGTTTTGTCCATTACTCTATACCCAAGTCTTACAAGTTCTGACATACACAGGGCATTCAATATTGTTGAATTGCTATTTATACATGAATTTTATATTTCCACAGTAAAATTTCATAGTCTATTTCACACATGTTCCACACATTTCCAATTAAGATTATACCTAGGCATTGTATATCATTTGTTACTACTGTCGGGATTCTTTTTCTGTTATATATTCTAACTGGTATAAGAAGGTATTTAACATTTCAAGTTTATCTTATCTTCAGCTACCTTACAAAATTCTTCTTAAACTTCTCATTTTTAATTGATTCTTCTATTTCTTCCTCTCTAATTATGTATGCCTCTCTTATCATGTCATATTAGAAAATTCACAACACCTTTGAGTAATAAGATAGCAGTCATCCACATTTTATTATTTATTCTAACAAATTACACTGCTGTTTTATCACTAAAATAATGTTGGTTGGTTATTGATAAATTTCTTGATCGTGTTAAAAAAAAAAAATCCAAAGATTTTTATCTTTTTAGTTTTTGCTGGACTCATTTCTTCTAAGATTACCAAGACTTGTTTTTAAAGACTTATTTGACAGAGAGAGAGAGCATGGATAAGCAGGGGGAGAGGTGGTAGGAGGGGAGAGAGAGAGAGAGAGAGAGAGAGAGAATCTCTAGCAGACTCCCTGCTGAGTGCGGAGCCTGACTCAGGCTCGATCCCAGGACCCTGAGATCATGACCTGAGCCAAAATCAAGAGGCAGCCACTTAACTGACTGAGCCACCCAGGCATCCCAAGATTACCAAGATTTTTTACTCTCAACCATTAAAGTTCTCCTTACATTATACCTTATTTGCTTCCCATGAAGTCTTCTCTGCTGATTTACAATTGTAATCCAAATAATGATATGAACATTCTGAATTTTTAGGAGAGAAATCTAAAATAACTGTGGAGAAGGAAAAAAGCATGGATTTTTACACAACAGTTTGTTCAATGTCAAATAACTTTTAATGTTATATTTTACTTAATTTACTTACAGTCATTTTCAATTGAGTCCTTATTACACTCAGCTCTCACTTGAAAATTATCTTCAATATTAAAGCTAATACCTCCTTTTGGAAAGTTTTCTTCATTTGGGAACTAGAAAACAGAGATCCATTTATCAGTTTATTTAGTAAAAAGAAAAAGTGTGTGTACACATCTGTATCTTTATCTACCTCCCTATATACACACACACATAGTCCATGGTATAACTTGAGACACAGAGGAACACAAGCAATATGTTATGAAGCCAATTCTATTCAGGAAAGCAGAGTACATTACGTATCATCAATTCTTATGATTCACATTTCTTATATCTTAACATCATTGAAATAAGGAATGAACCCTAACAGTGATAACATTGTTACATCTCTAGAGCACAGGCAACAGTCTTAACATAGCTGGCATTGCTGCGCAAGTGAAACCATGTGCAAGTTAGTCATACTGTTCATATAATAATCACTTAAGTATGAGTTTGCATTAACATCACACATTATGTAATTTTGCTGTTTAAATGTCTTCAAAAGGATAACATTATCATTTGCCATTGAACAAAAAAGTATTGTGTTCACAGAAGGGCAAGGAAGCAAAGCAGTGTGATATATCATAAAAAATCTACACCCAAATAAATCCAAGGCTTCTTACAACAAATATAACATCAAAAATCTAAGTGAAAGTGAAAAAGCTCTAGAGCTCTGTTTCACAACATTGTAAATATACTTCGCATGACTTAACTGTACACATAAAAATAGGTAAGATTATAAATTTTATGATTTTTTTTTACCACAATAAAAAAGTTTTCTTTGTTTTTGTTTTTTTAAGTAGGCTCCACACCAAGCGCAGAGCCCAACATGAGGCTCAAATGCACAACCCTGAGATCAAGACCTGAGCTGAGACCAAGCATCAGATGCTTAACCAACTGAGCCACCCAGGGGCCCCACCACAATAAGGAAGTTTTTAATAAAAAATCGAAGTGATAAAGCATTGCATAATGTTAACTGCTCTTCTTCTTTAGTGTTATATAATGGTGCTTCTTTTAATCGGATAGTACCTGGGAATTTGATGAAATACAGAATATATTCTAAGCGTCAGAGACTACTATTGAAATCTGCCACACTTATACCAAAAAGCTCTCCTCTCTGTAGGTAAGCCTGGTCATTTTGCCTTAAAATATATTTTATAAACTCATGATATAAAACATGACCATAGTGATGTATGCAATAATAATTAGAAATAAAACAAATGGACACAAATTTTTTTTCAATAGGAGTACTTCTCTAATCTATTCTCTTCAAAAAACCACAGGAAATAGGGGTGCCTGTGTGGCTCACTTGGTTGAACGTCCATCCAACTCTTGGTTTCAGCTTGGGTCAGGATCTCAGGGTTGTGGAACCAAGCCCCGTGACGGGCTGGGTGCTCACCACAGAGTCCACTTGGGATTCTCTCCCTTTCCTTCTCTCCCCCTGTCTGACCCCACCACTACATGCACAGGCTCTCTCTCTCTCATAAATAAAATCTTTTAAAAAAACACACAGGAAATAAGACATAGAAACATCTTTTATCTTTGATGAAACTAAGAAACAATGGTAACGCTTAATTACAATACAATATTAAGAGGATGGGGAAGAATATAGACTTGGTTAAGATGGAAGAAAGTTAAACCAAAGTACCTACTACAGGGGGCCTAATAAGAAGTAAACTGATTTACCCTTATAGCCATGGAAAACACTTAGAAACCATGGCATTCTCAGGGGATCCTCAGCAGAAAAAGTAGGCTATAGTAGGCTGAAAACATTTGATAAAAGTTCTAGAAAGAAAAACCAAGAAAATAGTGGGGAAGAAATTACCAAAAAAAAAAAAATTTTTTTGAGAAAGAATTTTTTAGGGGCACCTGGGTGGCACAATTGCTTAAGTGTCTGACTCTTGGTATTGGCTCAGGTCGTGATCTCAGGGTTGTGAGACTGAGCCACCCTGTTGGGTTCCTTGCTCAGCGCACAGTTTGCTTGAGATTTTCTCTCCCTCTCCCTGCTCCTCCCGCTTGTGCACTCACTCTCTCTAAAATAAATAAATAAATCTTTAAAAAAAAATAAAAAATTTTTGTAAGACTGGTGGACTTATATGTGCAGGATGAAAAGATTCACTGAATGTCCAGTATACAATTTGAGATATAGGGAACCAATCTAGGACATGGGCAAAGGTCATTCTTAAAATGTCAACTATACACGGGGCACCTGGGTGGCTCAGATGGTTAAGCGTCTGCCTTCGGCTCAGGTCATGATCTCGGGGTCCTGGGACCGAGTCCCTCATCGGGCTCCTTGCTCAGCGGGGAGCCTGCTTCTACCTCTGCCTGCCACTCCCCCTGCTTGTGCTCTCCCTCTCTCTCTGGCAAATAAATAAATTAAATCTTAAAAAAAAAAAAAGATGTCAACTATACAGTGCAGATTGGAACAGATGGATGGAGGACCTAGGAAAGAGGTCCTAAGGAAAAAAAAATGGAGTTAACAAAGATTATCTAATAAGTTTGTGTGGATTCCTATATTGAAAAGTACTTTATAAGCTTTTGGAGCATGTGAAAAATCTTTAGCCTAATATTCAAAGAACACTAAGCAAAGTTTAAAAAATGAGACAATTAGAAACAAGAAAATAAAACCAAAATTATAAAAGAAATAAAATGTAACCATAGTATATTAATTGGCTCAGCTGTGAAAAATATTAAAACACTGGGGCACCTGGGTGGCTCAGTCGTTGAGCATCTGCCTTTGGCTCAGGTCATGATCCCAGGGTCCTGGGATCGAGCCCCGCATCGAGCTCCCTGCTCACTGGGAAGCCTGCTTCTCCCTCTCCCATTCCCCCTGCTTGTGTTACTGCTCTCGCTGTCTTTCTCTCTGTCAAATAAATAAAAATCTTTATTAAAAAAATATTAAGGGGCGCCTAGGTGGCTCAGTCGTTAAGTGTCTGCCTTCGGCTCAGGTCATGATCCCAGAGTCCTGGGATTGAGCCCCGCATCAGGCTCCCCACTCGGCGGGAAGCCTGCTTCTCCCTTTCCCCCTCCCCCTGCTTGTGTTCCCTCTCTCACTGTGTCTCTGTCAAATAAATAAATGAAATCTTTAAAAAAAAGTAAAACATTTATAATAATAAAAATGTTGAATACCGCTTTATCTAAAAATTATGACATAGCTGTAATAGGAATCTAAGAGAATATAAAGCAGGAACTCAGAAATAACTTATTTTAATTAATGTAGCCACTATAATCATTAGATCTTACTAAAGATAGTGTAAAACCATGATAATAGTTAATAAAAGCAACAAAATTTATTAATAAGAAGCACAAAATGAAAACTTAAGGATTTTGGCTCCAGAAACCATGAAAGAAAGCCCTGACAGATCTGATTACCTAAACATTAAAACTGTATTTCTGCAAAAAATCTGAGTCAAAACATTAATACATTAGGAAAAATGACAAATGGTTAATTTTCTCAATATAAAAAGAACTCCTACAAATCAAATATATGAACAAAGACCCTGTAATGCCAAAACTGTAAAACATTACTGAGAAAATTTTAAGATCAAAAGATCAAAATAGAAAGATATTTTATTACAATATTGAAACGTATCAATAAAATATTCTAAAAATGTTAATTTTCTCCAAGATTTATATATACAATGAGGGGCGCCTGGCTGGCTCAGTCGGTAGAGCATGTGACTCTTGATCTCACAGTTGTGACTTCAAGCCCCACGCTGGGTGTAGAGATTACTTAAAAATAAGATCTTAAAAAAAAAAAAGATATATACACAATGAAATTCCAGTCAAATTCCTAGCATGGTTATATACATGGTGGAAATTGTTAAGCTTATTCTAAATGTATACGGAAACACAAAAAGCTAAAAAGAACAAGGTGAAAAGATTTAGAGATAAATGAAAACATTCTTTATAAGACATGAAGACTTTTAAAACTACAGACCAATGAATCAGAATAGAAACCAAAACTAGACTCAAAATACATGAATACCTGATTTATGGCAAAGGGGGCAAGGCAAAGGAATGGAGAGAAGACAGCCTTTTCAATAAAGAGTGCTTGGTCAAATGGATGTCCAAATGGGAAAAATATGAAACTTTATCTATACCTCAACACATAAAAATCAATTACTGGTTAATTGTACATCAAGGTGTGAAAGGCAAAATAATAAAGCTTCTACAAGATAATATGAGAGAATATCTTCATGATCTCCAGGTAGAGAAAGATTTCTTAAACAAGACAAAAAAAGTACTGATCATAAAGGACACAATAGATAAACTGTTATTATGTTAAAAATTATAAACTTCTATTCATCAAAAAGCATCATTAAGAGTGAAAGACAGACAAATGTAGGGATCCGAAGGGGTACATGCACCCCAATGTTTATAGCAGAATGTCCACAATAGCCAAACTGTGGAAAGAGCCAAGATATCCATTGACAGATGAATGGATAAAGAAGATGTGGTATACCTCACACCAGTCAGAATGGCTAAAATTAACAAGTCAGGAAACGACAGATGTTGGCGGGGATGCGGAGAAAGGGGAACCCTCCTACACTGTTGGTGGGAATGCAAACTGGTGCAGCCACTCTGGAAAACTGTATGGAGGTTCCTCAAAAAGTTGAAAATAGAGCTACCATATGATCCAGCAATTGCACTACTGGGTATTTACCCCAAAGATACAAAAGTAGGGATCCGAAGGGGTACGTGCACCCCAATGTTTATAGCAGCAATGTCCACAATAGCCAAACTGTGGAAAGAGCCAAGATGTCCATCGACAGATGAATGGATAAAGAAGAGGTGGTATATATATACAATGGAATATTATGCAGCCATCAAAAGGAATGAGATCTTGCCATTTGCAACGACGTGGATGGAACTGGAGGGTATTATGTTGAGTGAAATAAGTCAAAAAGAGAAAGACATGTATCATATGATCTCACTGATATGAGGAATTCTTAATCACAGGAAACAAACTGAGTGTTTTTGGAGTGGGGGGTGGGGTGGGAGGGATGGGGGGACTGGGTGATAGACACTGGGGAGGGTATGTGCTCTGGTAAGCGCTGTGAATTGTGCAAGACTGTTGAATCTCAGATCTGTACCTCTGAAACAAATAATGCAATATATGTTAAGAAAAAAAAAAAAAAAGAAGAAGAAGAAGGTAGCGGGAGGGGAAGAATGAAGTGGGGGAAATCGGAGGGGTAGACGAACCATGAGAGACGATGGACTCTGAAAAACAAACAGGGTTCTAGAGGGGAGGGGGGTGGGAGGATGGGTTAGCCTGGTGGTGGGTATTGAGGAGGGCACATTCTGCATGGAGCACTGGGTGTTGTGCACAAACAATGAATCATGGAACACTTCATCTAAAACTAATGTTGTAATGTATGGGGATTAACATAAGAATAAAAAAAAATGGTAAAAAAAAAAAAGATGTGGTATATATATACAATGGAATATTATGCAGCCATCAAAAGGAATGAAATCTTGCCTTTTGCAACAATGTGGATAGAACTGGAGAGTGTTATGCTGAGCAAAATAAGTCAATCAGAGAAAGACATATATCATATGACCTCACTGATATGAGGAATTCTTAATCTCAGGAAACAAACTGAGGGTTGCTGGAGTGGTGGGGGTGGGAGGGATGGGGCGGCTGGGTGATAGACATTGGGGAGGGTATGTGCTATGGTGAGCGCTGTGAATTGTGCAAGACTGTTGAATCACAGATCTGTACCTCTGAAAGAAATAATACGTTATATGTTAAAAAAAAAAAAAAAGAAGAAGATAGCAGGAGGGAAAGAATGAAGGGGGGGGAAATGGGAGGGGGAGATGAACCATGAGAGATGATGGACTGTGAAAAACAAACTGAGGGTTTCTAGAGGGGAGGGGGTGAGAGGATGGGTTAGCCTGGTGATGGGTATTAAAGAGGGCACGTTCTGCATGGAGCACTGGGTGTTATACGCAAATAATGAATTATGGAACACTACATCAAAACCTAATGATGTAATGTATGGTGATTAACATAACAGTAATTTAAAAAAAACGTTGAAAATAAAAAAAAAGTGAAAGAGAGTCAGGGAAAATATCTGCAAAGTATATAACTGACAATGAGTATATATCCATTATAAGAATTCCAAAAATTAATTAGAAAGATAAACACATCAATGAAAAACTAAGAAGGGGTGGGCGCCTGGGTGGTTCAGCTGGTTAAGTGTCCAACTCTTGATTTTGGCTCAGGTCATGATCTTGGGGTCCTGAAATCGAGCCCCGTCTTGGGCTCCTCCAAGCTAACAAGGGAGTCTGCTTTTCTCCCTCTACCCCTCCCCTATATGCGCACGTGTGTGCGTGCATTCTCTCTCAAATAAATAAATAAATATTTTTTTTAAAAACTGAGGAAGAAACCTGAGCAAATACTTCATCCCCAAAGAGAATACAGAGAAGGCCAATAAGCATACAAAAAGGTCCTAGCCTCATTATTAGGCAGGAAAATGCAAACTAAAACCACAATGAAATACCACTACATATCTACCAGAATAGCTAAAATTCAAATCAAAAACTTTCAGCACCAAGCGTTGATGAAGATATAGAGTAATGGGAACTCATATATACTTCTGACAGAAATGTTAACTATAATAACCATTTTTGGAAAGCAGTTTGGCATTATATACTAAAAGTAAAGATACACATACCTGGTGACTCAATAATCCCACTCCAATGTAGTATAACTGACAGAAACATGTCATGTGTGTACATATTCAGGACAGCACATGAACATTCATATCAGCATTATCGGTAATAGGCCCCAAATGCAAACGACTGAAAAATGGATAATTGGAGCGTATTCATACAGTGGAATAGTACACCAGCAATGAAAATGAATAAACTACAGACACAGGCAACTACATGGATGAATTTCAAAACTGCAGTGTTGAACAAAAAGAACCAGACACAAAAAATACATTGTATATTACTCTATTTACATCAAGTTTTAAAAGCAAAACTAGGGCACATGAGTGGCCCACTCAGTTAAGAGTCTGCCTTCAGCTCAAGTCATGATCTCGGGGACCTGGGAGGGAGCCACGCATCAGGCTCCCTGTTCAGTGGGGAGTCTTCTTCTCCCTCTCCCCCTGCTCATGCTCTCTCTTTCTCACTTGCTCACTCTCTCTCTCTCAAATAAATAAAATCTTAATAAAAGCAAAACTAATATATGGTATTATAAGTCAAGATAGTGGTTATCTTTGGAGGGAATAGAAAGGGATAGTGGCTGAAAGGGGGCCAGGGGACTTCTGGGATGCTGCTAAGGTTCTATTTCTTAAGAGTGGAGGTTACATGAGTGTGTTCACTTTGTGGTAATTACTGAGCTGTGTACTTATGGTCTGTGCACTTATTTTGTATGTGCATTATGCTTTAATAAAAAAGAAAAAAATTGGGGTGCCTGAACCGGTGGCTCAGTCGGTTAAGCGTCTGCCTTCGGCTCAGGTCATGATCCCATGGTCCTGGGATCGAGTCCCACGTTGGGCTCCCTGCCCAGCAGGGAGCCTGCTTCTCCCTCTCCTCCCTGCTCATGCTCTCTCTCACTATCTCTGTCTCTCTCTCAAATAAATAAATAAAATCTTTAGGAAAAAAAAAAGAAAGAAAAAAATGTGCATCTCTTTAACAGACACTGTTTCGAATATATGCATATCATTCTCTTATGACCTCTATTTGGTAACAATTGAGAGGTGCTTGGTGTCATACTTAGAGAAGTGGGGATAGGGATAACTTATATTTGTTCAAGGATTTAAATATAATCTCTTCATAAAATTTAGTATTGACATAAAGAAAATGATTTGGCAAGGTGCAACTATAAAAAATATTTTTACCTGCAAGAAATCAATCTGCATACAAGCGCTAGTCAATTTTGGCGTCAATAAACAAGTGTCTGTCGTGCGGTTTTCATATTCAATACTATCTGGAAACTGACCGCATTCTAGCTGTGAGCTGTGTCCTCTGACCATCACAGCACTAGTAGCTGATCCTTTCACTTGAAACTCAACAGGCTACAAGTAAATTATTAAAAATGAGTATTGCAATAAATACATATTGATATATAGTCACAATGTATATATACACAGGAAATAAATAACAATTTAGCTTTCTATTAACTACTTAATGTAAATAATTATAAGTGACAAATGCTGAAAACCAGAAAAACTAATTATCCTAACACATGCTAATTATAAAACATAAATCGGTTATTGATTTAATTGAATTCAAGTTCAACATTAATAAATATGAATTTTTTATTAGGAGCATAAGAAGTATAGTTATAATGGACTAATTAAACCAGAAAGATATAGTTGTTCCTTTCTCTATGCTTCCCCGTACATTATACAACTTTCCATTATAGACTTATCACATTATACTACAATGAAGTTTCTTTTCATATATACCCTAACTGTACTGTAAGCTCCTTGAGGGAAGAGACCTGTTTGTTTCATCAGGGTATCACGTGCATTTAACACCATGCTTGGCATATGGGAGGCAGTCAATAAACATATGATAATAGGAAGTAAGGGAAGAAATACAGGAAGGATTTTCCTTTGTTCAGGCATTTTGTAAACTATCAGGCTTCACAGAAGAGGGATGGTGGGTTCTCTCCCAGAAGATCTGATCCTATTGCTCTGAGAACAAAGGCCTGAGAATGTGATGCCAATACAGACATGTACTTCAGAGAGGTACTGTGATCTCCTCACAGACCTGATCAGCTTTCAGGCTTCAAAAGGCTTTCTCTGCTGCCCCCTTGAGGGTTCTAGGATTTTTATTCCTCACAGGGTGACAAAGCCTACCCAGAAAGTGGAAAATTAAGATTGCTAATAGAGCCAAAGGAATGTAAAGAATGAATTTATTTCTAACTGATAAATTAACAACAAAATTATGATAGTAAATAATCTGAATATTCTCTTATTTTAGGATGAAGATTCTATATCACACATTTGAAAGGAAAATTAAACCTAAAATGTCCCTTATACTTTTGCTGAAAATATCTAAATTTTAAAACATACACATTTCAATTAAAAAAGTCTCAACGGTTAGACTCTATATTTCTGATTTGTTTGATAGGGAATACACATTTTCTACAAGCAAATAGATGCCCCGTTTTCTATGCTTCCATGTAGATCTCTTCTAAAGATCTGTTGAGTTTTAGGAATAGAATCATTATTTGTAAAACCCAACTATTTATATGCTATTTTCCCTCCAAACTTTTGATATGGAGTAGATGGCACTACTTAGAGCTTGGGTTATATATACTTCTACAGAAGTAGGACTGGTAGAGGAGACTATAATATGTTCAAGGCTATAAAGATCTTCATTTTGTTCTCGGCAGAACATTCATTATTTATACGTTATTTATCTTCCTGTCCAACCTCTAGGGTATGCATCATATATATGCATGATGCATTATTAGCTCACTAGTAAAGAGAAAGGGCTCAAGATCAAACAAGGGGTAGCAGTCATTAGTTTTTCTTGTTCCTAAAACCAGGTTAATTCATTATGCTCATTGACCTTCTGACCATGAAAACTCTGAGAGTGGTATAAAAAACAGCAGGAAAAGACAGTGGATTAGAAAATCAAAGTTGTTCACAAATTTTACCGTAGGGTCACAGGTTTTTCTCTCTAATTGTGTAGTGATAACATCTAGAAAAGCAGTCTCTTCATCTCCCAAGGAAAAGAACTAGAATAAAATACCAATAAGCATGTTAGCTAGAAGAGTTCTGTAGGCAGCTCATGAGTATGATGGGAAAATACTCCCAAAACTTAAAGTATGCCATTTGAAAATCTTACTCCTGTATATACATACATATAATTAGCTACATCTAGCAAAGGAGTTCTCCAGCAGATAAGGTACTATGCTAATTAATTTTATTTTTAATTTTATTTTTTAAAGATTTTATTTATTTATTTGACAGAGAGAGGCATAGCGAGAGAGGGAACACAAGCAGGGGGAGTGGGACAGGGAGAAGTAGGCTTCCAGCCGAGCAGGGAGCCCGATGTGCGGCTCAACTCCAGGACCCTGAGATCATGACCTGAGCAGAAGGCAGACGCCTAAGGACTGAGCCACCCAGGCGCCCCATATGCTAATTAATTTTAAATTCAGCAATAAAAAATTCTAATTCTAAAAATTTTTTTAATTTCTTTATTTTGAGAGAGAGAGAGGGAGGAAACACATGCACACACAGAAGGAAAGGGCAGGGGAAGAGAGAGTATCTTATTTTTTTTAAGATTTTATTTTTTAAAGACAAAGTGCAAGAGTGCACATGAGTGGGGGGAGGGGAAGAGGGAGAAAGACAAGCAGACTCCCCGCTGAGCAGGCAGCCTGCCCCCGGGGCCTGAGATCGTAACCTGAGCCTAAGGCAGATGCTTAACCCACTGAGTCACCCAGGTACCCCAGGAGAGAGAGAGAATCCTGGGCAGAGTCCCCACTAAGCATGGAGCTGGACTTAGGGCTCAATCTCACAACCCTGAGATCATGACCAGAGCTGAAATTAAGAGTCAGATGTTTAACCAACTAAGCCACCCATGCGACACTAATTCTAAAAATTTTAGTTAAATATTTTAACACTAGAAAAAATTGTTGCATACCTAATAATCTCCATCTAATCTAATATTTAATATTAATGCAGATTATTTAATTCAAAAATTAGTATGAAACCAAAGGAGGAAAAATTGTAAACAGTGTTAACAGTTTATTTAAAGAATGAATCAGAGTACCTGGCTGGCTCAGTCAGTAGAGCATGTGACCCTTTTTTTTTTTTTTTAAGATTTATTTATTTTAGAGAGAGAACAAATGCCAAGGGGAGGGGCAGAGGGAGAAAGAGAGAAAGAATCCTCAAGCAGACTCCCCATTGAGCACTGAGCCTAACACAGGGTTTGATCACGACCTAAACCAAAATCCAGAGTTTGCCGCTTAACTGGCTGTCACCCAGGCGCCCGAGTAGAGCATGTGACTCTTAATCTCGGGATCATGAGTTCAAGCCCCATGTTGAGCATGGAGCTTACATTAAAAATAAAAATAAAATAAACCATTTTCTAGCAACCATAAAAACACAAGCTACAGACAACAGCAACTAGTCATGTTTAGTTAATCAAGTAACCATATCAAATAATCATAATTTCTACTATGAATTAGATAGACTTTGAAAAGGAATTTAAACAAGAAAACAATTTTTATGTTTAAAAAATATATAGAAAAAAATTTCCTCAATAGACAGAAGAGGTAAAGTAGCATATTTCTTCAAATAATGATAACCTTCCATTAATAACACAATACATTAGCACATCTGCCAACTACTCTTGAAAACATTCAACTCAAATTTTAGAATTAGGGGCGCCTGGGTGGCTCAGTTGTTAAGCGTCTGCCTTCAGCTCAGGTCATGATCCCAGGGTCCTGGGATCAAGCCCTGCATTGGGCTCCCTGCTCCGTGGGAAGCCTGTTTCTCCTTCTCCCACTCCCCATTTGTGTTCCCTCTCTCACTGTGTCTCTCTCTCTGTCAAACAAATAAATAAAATCTTTAAAAAAAAAAAATTTTAGAATTAGAATTTTCTAATACAGTGAGTTTAAAAACCAATTAGCACAGCACCTTCTCTTCTGCTTTGTTATGTATAGCTAATTGTAGAAATAAAACTAGCAGAAATAAAAAAACAGTGCCATTAAGTATATCCTCAAAGAGCACCCTAACTTTAAATTTTGGAAGTTTTTCTATCATTAATGTACATGAAGAGGTTGTTTCAGAAAGTTTTAATATGAAAGGTATTACAAAAATGCAAATATTCTCCTATATTAATGCTAAAAAGATTTAAATAAATTTTTTTTACAAAAGATAAGACCTTTTTAATTCCTGTGAGATTACAACAGATTTTTAAAATATATACATTTATTTTAAATGGCAACTCATAGGCGCACCGGGGTGGCTCAGTCAGTTAAGTGTCTGCCTTCGGCTCAGGTCATTTTCCCAGGGTCCTGGGATCGAGCCCAGCATTGGGCTCCCTGCTCAGTGGGGAGTCTGCTTCTCCCTCTCCCTCTGCTGCTTCCCCTGCTCATGCTCTCACTCTCTCAAATAAATAAATAAAATCTTAAAAAAATAAAAATAAATGGCAACTCATTCTGGAGAATGATAGTGTTTATTTCCAGTTTATACTTTATGATAACTGTCCATGAAAGAGTTTAAATCATATTTTTTCAAGTGAAAAAAAGAATTAAGAATGTGATCATTTGTAAGCTAAATAATGCAGTTGCTAATTATGATTTTATACATTTGATCTTATTATATAAGGATGAAAAATGATTGAGCCACCACTATGTGAATTTTACTTGTTTTGTTTTGTTCTTTTTTGGCAACAGAGTTGCAGGTACAGCTATAATAGTCAATGTCAATTCTTGGATTAAGTGATGATTGTAAGTTTACAACCTTATTTGTGATAAAAGATTTGTCATTTAACCAAATCCTATTGACCACACAGGCCATTTATACAAGACAGTAGGCTCACCTAAATAAGTATAAAGGGGTAACTAATTACAAATGATATTGAAACTGACAATATAAAATATAAAACTATATGCCATACCTATATATACAACTACAATTTCTGGCTACTTTATATTTTAAAAATTAACTCACCTGCAAAGACTGAAGTGGTTCACTTGCTTCAACTTCTTTTTCTGTTATAATCTTAGGAACAGAATATTAATATAAGAATAACTAAAAGATACTAGTAAGTTATAAATAAAATATAAATTTCTATTAGACATAAATAAAAGAACACTATCACTAATAATCAAAAGAGCAAAAACTAAATGTTAATTAAACACTATTCTGACTTAGCAGGAATTGGAATTTTTTTTTTTTTTTTTAAGATTCATTGGGGCACCTGGGTGGCTCAAATGGTTAAGCTTCTGCCTTTGGCTCGGGTCATGATCCCAGGGTCCTGGGATGGAGCCCCGCGTTGGGCTCCTAGCTCAGCTGGGAGTCTGCTTCTCCCTCTCCCTCTGCTGTTCCCCCTGCTTATGCTCTCTCTCTCTGTCTCTCTCTCTGTCTCAAATGAATAAAATCTTAAAAAAAAAAAAAATTTATTTATTAAAGTGGCAGAGAGAGCGTGAGAGGGAGGGGAGGGGGAGAGGAAAAGAGAGAGAATCTCAAACAGACCTCGCACTGAGCACAGAGCCCAATGCCGGACTTGATCCCACAACCCCAAGATCACAACCCAAGCCGAAATCAAGAGTCAAACGCCCAAGCAACCAAGCCACCCCGGTGCCCCAGAATTGAAAATATCTTAGTACTGGTGATTGTGAAATGAAATAAATATTCATACTGTAAAGCAGTAAGATTTTTAGATTTGACAGTGTAAATCAAGAAAATTGTTCTTAGCCGTTCAAGTTATCAGTTCCACTTGTGGGACTCAAATCTTTTTTTTTTTTTTAAAGATTTTATTTATTTATTTGAGAGAGAGAGACTGAGAGAGAGAGCGCACATGAGAGGGAGGACGGTCAGAGGGAGAAGCAAACTCCCCGCTGAGCAGGGAGCCCGATGCGGGACTCGATCCCGGGACTCCAGGATCATGACCTGAGCCGAAGGCAGTCGCTTAACCAACTGAGCCACCCAGGCGCCCCGTGGGACTCAAATCTAAGGAGATAACTTAAAATGTAAACACTGATTTATGTGCAAAAACATTTGCTAAAGTTTTATTTATCCCAGCAAAATGCTAGAAATAATTTAAATGTTCAAAATAGGGCATTGCTTATCCAAAGCATAGAATATCCACAGGATGGGATGGTAAGTAACCTCTAAAAGATATTTAACTGCTGGTCTGTGGTGAGCCACCAATGTGGTCTCTGTTCCGCAGGATGGCATTTGTTAAAGTTGTCAAGAATAAGTCTTACTTTAAGAGATACCAAGTGAAATTTAGAAGATGATGAGATGGGGCACCTGGGTGTCTCAGTCGTTAAGCGTCTGCCTTCGGCTCAGGTCATGATCCCAGGGTCCTGGGATCGAGCCCTGCATCGGGCTCCCTGCTCAGCGGAAAGCCTGCTTCTCCCTCCCCCACTCCTCCTGCTTGTGTTCCCTCTCTCGCTGTCAAATAAATAAATAAAATTTGGAAAAAAAAAAAAAGATGACGAGAGGACAAAACTGATTACTATGCTCAGAAACACTTGGTAATTCAGGATAAAAATAAATACCAAACACATTAATATTAATACAGGATGACAGTTTGTGTGGCCAACAGAAATATCATTTGTCAGATTACTTATGCCCACATAGAAGGAGATATGATAGTTTGTGCAGCTTAAGCTCATTAACTCCCAGAGTACGGTATGAAGGTTGACCTGACAAATTATGCTGCGGCATATTGTACCAGCCTGCTGCTGACCCACAAGCTTCTCAATAGATTTGACATGGACAAGATCTATGAAGGCCAAGTGGAGGTGACTGGAGATGAATGCAATGTGGAAGCACTGATGGTCAACCTGGTGCCTTCACCTGCTATTTGGATGCAGGGCTTGCCAGAACTACTGGAAATAAAAATTGGGGGAGCTGTGAATGGAGGCTTGTCTATTCCTCACAGTACCAAATGATTCCCTAGTTATGATTCAGAAAGCAAGGAATTCAATGCAGAAGTACATCAGAAGCACATCATGGGTCAGAACGTTGCAGATTATATGCATTACTAATGGAAGAAGATGAAGATGCTTACAAGAAACAATTCTCTCAATACAAAAAGAACATAACTCCAGACATGATGGAGGAGATGTGTAAGAAAGCTCATGCTGCTATATGAGAGAATCCAGTCTATGAGAAGAAGCCTAAGAAAGAAGTTAAAAAGAGGTGGAACCATCCCAAAATGTCCCTTGCCCAAGAAGAAAGACTGGGGAGCTCAGAGGAAGGCAAGCTTCCTTAGAGCTCAGGAGCAGGCTGCTGAGAGCTAATAAACCAACCCACAATTTTCTGTGAAGATTTTTCAGATAAAGACAATAATAAGCTTACTCACCAAGCAGCTAAAAAATTAGCTAAACAAATAAATAAGTAGAAGATATATTTAAGAAGTATCTTAATAATGTGAGAAACATAATATATTAAGGGGAAAAGATATAAAACTATTTGTACACATCAATCTAACCATATTTTTAAAAATAGGCCCCAAACATTAATAATAAATATCTATCAGTGATAGGGTAAGTTTTATTTGTCTTCACTTTTTTTGTATTTAAAAAAGAAAAAAATAGTAACATGGAAAATAGAGTAAGATACAAAATGGGGGCAAATGAAACATTTCACTTTCTTTTATTTCAAACATGTCTTCTAGAAAGAGCAGTGCCATATAATGAATATCCCTCCAAATATGCTAAAAGCATCCCCAAGGGGTGCCTGGGTGGCTCAGTCGTTAAGTGTTTGCCTTCGGCTCAGGTCATGATCCCAGGGTCCTGGGATCCTGCTCACTGGGAAGCCTGCTTCCCCCTCTCCCACTCCCCCTGCTTGTGTTCCTTCTCTCGCTGTGTCTGTCAAATAAATAAATAAAATCTTTAAAAAAAATAAAAAATAAAATAAAATAAAAATAAAAGCATCCCCAAGAAGAAACACTAATTCTAGAATTTCAATGTATTCTAATTAGTACTATAATTTTTATAATATTACCATGGTTCCTAAACTGTTCAACAAGGTACTTTGAGATGCCAGAGTGAACTCAACAGGAGCTGCACAAAATGTTTTAAATTTAAGGGAAGGGGTGTCTGGGTGGCTCAGTGGGTTGAGCATCCAACTCTTGGTTTTGGCTCAGGTCATGACCTCAAGGTTGGGAGATTGAGCCCTGCATTGGGCTTTGCGCTCAGCAGAGCCGCTTAAAAGATTTTCTCCCTCTCCTTCCCTCTCTGCTCCTCCCCTGGCTTGTGTGTGCTCTCTCTCTCTCTCAAATAAATAAATAAAATCTTTCAAAAATTATAAAACTTGGGGCGCCTGGGTGGCTCAGTTGGTTAAGCATCTGCCTTCAGCTCGGGTCATGATCTCAGGGTCCTAAGATCGAGCCCTGCATCAGGCTCCCTGCTTAAAGGGGAGTCTGCTTTTCCCTCTCCCTCTGCCCCTCCACACCATTCATGCTCTCTCTAGCTCTCTCTCTCTCTCTCAAATAAATAAAATCTTTAAAAAACATTACAAAAATTTTAAAATTTAAATAAATTTAAGGGAAATACAGTGTCACTTGACATCTGTTGATCACTGAATGAACTACTAACTCAAGGTAGTTCATTTCAACATCAGATCTTTTTTTTTTAATATTTTATTTATTTGACAGAGAGAGAGAGAGATCGAGAGAGGGAACACAAGCAGGGGCAGAGGGAGAGGGAGAAGCAAGCTTCCCACTGAGCAGGGAGCCCAATGTGGGGCTCGATCCCAGCACCCTGGGATCATGACCTGAGCCGAAGGCAGACGCTTAATGACTGAGCCACCCAGGAGACCCTCAACATCAGATCTTTTATCATCTCTTTCAATGGCATTATATCTTTGTAAAGTTGAGTTTTCAGAAACTGCTATGATAAAAATCAATTACCATGGAAAAATCAATGAGAACAAGAAGACTAATCTATTTCAAGGTTTGAAAAGTTACGTGGTGCCCAACAAGCGCATACATCCCATTAGTAATTGCGTTTAATTAAAAATAAAATGCTTACATTGGGCTCCACACTGGGGGTGGAGCCTACTTTAAAAAAAAAAAAAAGCAGGATGGGGGAGTGCCCCTGGGTGGCTCAGTCAGTTAAGCACCAACCCTTGATCTCAGTTCAGGTCTTGACCTCAGGGTCGTGAGTTCAAGCCCCACACTGGGTTCTGCGCTGGATGAGGAGCCTACTTATAAAGTAAAAAGTAAAGTAAAATAAAATAAAAGGCATATAGTAATCATTTCACAATATATACATGTATCAAATCATTATATTGTAAACCTTAAACTGATGTGTTATATGTCAACTATATCAATAAAACTGGAAAAAATAAAAATAAAAAGCTTACTAAATTAGTAGGACATAATACTTATTAAGTTGTTTAATACTACTAACTACTTAATAAATGAAACTGCTAGGCTCCTTTTTTTTCCCCCAAAGGATGTAATGAAAATAATTACTGAGATACAAGGTCGGGGCGGGGGGGGTCATGAGATAAGATATATTGGGACCCTCTATATTACTGTAATCTCATTACAAAGAACAGAACATTCTATATCAGAATAAAAGAATATAGGAAAAAAATGTACCTGATGAGAATCCTGGTTCAGATGAGGCAACTTTCGTAAAGCTTGTGAAACTCCTGCAGTCAATGGTTTCCTAACTATAGTAGATAAAACAAAATGATTTTATTCATCATACATAGTGTTTTAAACTTTAAAAACTTATTTCTAGGGGAGCCTGGCTGGCTCAGTCAGTGGGGCATGTGACTCTTGATCTCAGGGTTGTAGGCTTGAGCCCCACACTGGGCAGAGGTTACTTAAAAATAATAAAATCTTAAAAAAACACAAAAAACCTTATTTCTAAAACTGAATGAAATGAGGAATACAACTTAAACTTGAAGATGAGGTATTCTTGATAATTGTTGAATCTGGATTTTGGATATTTCAGGATTCACTGACTATTCTGTGTATCTGTGCAGTGTATGTGTAGTCAAACATTTTCAAGATAAAAATTCAAGAAAAAGGGGCGCCTGGGTGGCTCAGTCAGTTAAGCTCTGCCTTTGATTCAGGTCATGATTCCAGGGTCCTGGGATAGAGTCCTGCTTCAGGCTCCCTGCTCAGCGGGGAGCCTGCTTCTCCCTCTGCCTGCAGCTCCCCCTGCTTGTGCTCTGTGTCAAATAAATAAAATCTTAAAAAAAAAAAAAAGTAAGAAATAAGAAAATGTTGATTTTTTTAAAATTCAGGAGAAAAGAATTTTTTGGTTACTTTCTAAGTCAATAGTAGAAATGCTTCCTTTTGTTTTTTCAAACTAATTGAAAAAATAAATACCAAGTCAACAGCCAATAACCTACACTAAAAAATGCTAAAAATGAGATATTAACTGTTAGAATAAAGCCAAGACCATTACACTGCTGCTATGTGCAAACACAGACAACAAAAAAGCACTTAATGCTATTTCTATCCTAACCCTATTTAACTATGGTTTGAGAAAAAAAACTTCAATTATCTTCTAAGTACATTGTGCCAGACACTGGGAAAACAGCAGTTTCTTGAAAAAGGAAGGCCACAGAAGATAAAAAAAAAAAAAAAAAAAAAGATAAATTCAGATTATGATACAAAAGAGCTTTGTAACAAAGGTTGATAGGACAGAGAGTAATGTTAGATAGGATGATGGGAAAGATCTTTTATGGGAAGTGACATTTAAGTTGAGATCTGAATACAAGAAAAAGCTACGAGCTAAGCCAGAGGTAAAGATGTTCAGAAAAAAGTCAGAACACATATAAAGTCTCCCACCAACAGGAGAGTTGGCAAAGCTACAGAATGAAAAAGAAGAGAGGGTGGCCAGGCCATACCACCTAATTGAGTATGTTTAAAAATAGGATTTTGGGGGGCATCTGGATGGCTCAGTTAGTTAATCGTCTGCCTGCGGCTCAGGTCATGATCCCAGAGTCCTGGGATAGAGCCCCACATCAGGCTCTCTGCTTAGCAGGGAGCCTGCTTCTCCCTCTCCCTTTGCCTGCCACTCCCCCTGCTTGTGCTCTCTCTGTCAAATAAATAAAATCCTTAAAAAAAAAAATAGGATTTTTTTTCCTTAAAAAGGTACATATACAATCATTTCAATTTCTTATAAAGTCACCAAGAAGACTATAATTTTAAAGTGATTATTAATAAACAAATAATTATTGTAAAAATGAAAATCAGAGGCACCTGGCTGATTCAGCTGGGGAGCATGCAACTCTTAATCTCAGGGTCATGAGTTCAAGCTTCTTTTTGGGTGTAGAGATTATTTAAATAAAAAAACTTTATTGTAAAAAAAAACATAGCTAAATCTAGTGTAAACTTCAATTTTAGTCAATTGTTACTTCAGGTTTCATTATTTTCCTGTTAAAATTCAGAATACATTAAATGAAATCAAAATAAGTAGATTTTGGAACTTGATGCTATTTCTAAAAAGGGCTTTAAAAAGGCACTGGTGAAAATTGTATTTTTTCCTTCATGCATTCACTCAAGAATAAAACTCTAAATGAACATTTCTAAGATATATTCAGTAATCTCACAAAAACTTTAATCTACTGGAAAAAAAATTTTTTAACACTTTCACACATCCTAAATTGGTGGCAAAACCGATTCTCACTCCATGAAGTCAATTATTATATTCCAATAAATAGATTCAAGTTTCTCAGATTGTCTCAAGAAAACCAACTTATTTCTTTTTAGAGAAATATATCAGAAAACAAATAGTCAATCCTCATTACTCACAGAACCTACCTACTCACTAAAATTTATTTGGAACCCCCAAATCAGTACCCTGTTTTTTTGAGGTCATTTGTAGACATGCAGAGCTACAAAAACTAAGCTGCCTGACATACATTCCCAGCTGAGGTAGAACAAGGTGACACTGCCTCCTTGAGCTCTTACACTATAAACAAGTGCCCTTTTTGTGGTCTTATTTTAGTAGCTTTTTTACACTTTGGGGCTTTTTGTAGGGGACTTTGCTATTTACAATATTCCCTACGCATACTGTCTAGTGTTCCTAAGTGCAAGAAGGCTCTGATGTCCTTTACGGAGAAAACGTGTGTTAAAAGAAGTTTTTTTCAGGAATTACTCATAGCGCAGTTCACCATGAATTCAATGTTAACAGATCAACATTAATTAATATCTTTAAATAGAAACACTCATAAAAACAAGATTTTGATCAATTGATAAAAATGCTCTGACCAGAGGTTTGAAGGAAACTACCCCTAAAAGCAATGACTCATTTTTCACTAATTCAGTGTTTGTGTTGATTCAATAGAACATAACTACCACAAATAATGAGAATCAACTGTAATCCTCTTTCCAACTTGATGAGAAAAAAGATTTCTTTTTTTTTTTTAAAGATTTTATTTATTTATTTGACAGAGAGGGAGAGACAGCGAGAGAGGGAACACAAGCAGGGGGTGTAGGAGAGGGAGAAGCAGGCTTCCCGCTGAGCAGGGAGCCCGATGCTGGGCTCGATCCCAGGACCCCGGGACCATGACCTGAGCCAAAAGCAGACGCTTAACAACTGAGCCACCCAGGCGCGCCGAAGAAAAAAGATTTCTTAAAACTAAATTCTATAATTCCTGTATCTTCATATAGGAATTTATATCCTTATATATTACATAATTATATCTGCCCCTACTTATTTTTCATGAAAATTTTTTTCCTTTTTATTTAGAAAATAAACTATCAATTGCCATCAAACTTAACTACATTTTAAACAAATATTTCAGGAGGTACAATAATTTATTCTTATCTTTCTCAGGAATCCCTTGAGGTATTTAAATAAGAATTCAATTTTAACTTTCGAGTATCCTAAAGTACCCTGTTCATTCACAATTATATGAACCTAATATTTATATTTATTAATATGTCCTACATTGGTTTTCTTTTTTAAAAAATGCTACTGGCAACATACCATAAGCAAAGTCAAAAGACCAATGACATATGAAAGAGAATATCTGCAACACACATCACCAGTAAAGGGTTAGTATACCTAATATATGAAAAAAAAAACCTCGGGGTGCCTGGGTGGCTCAGTTGTTAAGCGTCTGCCCTCAGCTCAGGTCATGATCCCGGGGTCCTGGGATCGAGCCCCGCATAGGGCTCCCTGCTCCGCAGGCCTGCTTCTCCCTCTCCCACTCCCCCTGCTTGTGTTTCCTCTCTCGCTGTGTCTCTCTGTCAAATAAATAAATAAAATCTTTAATAAATAAATAAATAAATAAATAACCTCTTAAAAATCAATGAGAATAAAAAGACTGACAGCCATTAAACATCTGGACAAAAGGGGAGGACAGTTCATGAAAAAAGATGTACAAATGCTGCTTAAACATATGAAAAGATGTTAAATTTCACTTGTAGTAAGAGAAATACAAATTTAAATACACTGAAATGCCATTTCTCATTTATCAGATTAGCAAAAATTCCAAAGCTTGGGAACACACTCTATTGGCAAGACTGTGGAGAAAAAAGCACTCTCATACATTACTGGTGGGGATAAGAAATGGAGGGAATTTTGAAATATCTAATAAAGTCACACATTTACCTAGGAACCCTACTGGCAGGAATTTGTCCTGAAGACACACCTCAAACAATATGCAAACATGCACACACATATATATACATATATACGGCTACTTAATATTACATTATTTGTAATAGCAAAGTATTGGAGACAGGTTGCATAAATGATGGTTCATCCACACAGTGGAATATTACACAGATGTAAACAAAATTAGGATGTGTCCTATGAATTGACATGAAGCAAACTCCAGGATATACGAAGTGAAAAAAAGGTGATGAAGAATATATAGAGTATACTATCTCTTGTTGAATAGGAAGGGAACAAAAACGTAAATTATGGAGGTATTTATTTTTGCAAAAAGAAACATAGGTATGACATATTGGCTATGTCTAGCAGATAGGTAAGAAAAGGATGAAAGGCATAAGGAAGGCATCTGAGTTTATGTTTTTATACAGCTTTGATTCCTGAACTAGGTTAATATTTTACATAATCGGAAATAAAAATAAATCAAGGATGGGCAAAAAAGTCCTCATACCGAATATAAACAGTGAATATAACTATATTTACATCAAATTATAACATAATCACACTGAAGAAAATAACCCAAGTAACTTTTTAAAAATATTTGAGAGAGAAAGAGCACCTGTGTACGCACACCTGAGCAGGGGAAGAGCAGAGAGAGGAAATCTCAAGCAGACTCCCCACCGAGCACAGAAGTGGATGTGGGGCTCAATTCCACAACCCTGAGATCATGATCTGAACTGAAACCAAGAGTCAGACACTCAAAGAACTGAGCCACCCAGATGCCCCACCCAAGTAACTTTTGAACATAATACTCTATGTATTTTCAGTAGGATACGTTGCAAAAACAAACCAAAGAAGGGGTGCCTGGGTGGCTCAGTCGGTTAGGCATCGGCCTTCAGCTCAGGTCATGATCTCGGGATCCTGGGACGGAGCCCCGGGTTGGGCTCCCTGCTCAGTGGGGAGTCTGCTTCTTACTGGGCCCCTCCCCACCGCTTGTGCTTTCTCACTCTTGCTCAAATAAATAAAATCTTAAAAAAAAAAAAATGGATTTGTGAACTTTACAAATTTGTAAAGGTTTTTTGCTAGTAGTGATACCAGTGTAACAATTAGGAAGCCATTTGATATGTATTGTAGAATTGAGAAAGTAAAATACTAATGTTGTTGGGAACCAGGGACCTTTCTCATTTTGGTAGTAAAGTAATATAATCATGAAATTGAGGAAAGACAGAAAGAACCCAGTGGTTAAGAATTGGAATTAGAGATATCAATATGAACTCATGATTTTTTAAAAAAGTATCTTCTAACACATGTCCAGAAATGTATGATAGGAATGGATATTCACATACATATGTGCCTGTATATGCTTATATATGCACAAAATATTTCCAGAAGGATACCCTGGAAGGAAACTGTGGCTAATTCTGAGGAGTGGACTGAAGGACTGTACTAGAAAAGTGACTTTTCACTATATTATCCTCTATTGGAATTGATTTTACCAAGTACACATATTACCCATTTAAATACTATGTAATTCTGAGGTGCCTGGGTGGCTCAGTCGGCTAAACATCTGACTCTTGGTTTTGGTTCAAGTCATGATATTGGGGTCATGAGATCAAGTCCTGCATCACGCTCTGTGCTCGGCATGGAGCCTGCTTAAGATTCTCTCTCTCCTTCTCCTTCTGCCCCTCCCCCAGCTCACAGGCGCACCCTCTCAAAAAAAAAAAAAAAAAATTACTATGTAATTCTTTAATGTAGCCTCCAAAGCAAATACTTTTCAACCTCTGAGCTATACAGAGAACAATCCAAAACAAACATGCCAATCTAACCTTCAGGATTGCTATCTGGCTCATAAGTCCACAGAGTTCCTTGTTGTTTAAAGGTAGCATATTTCTTTTTCAATACTTCCAAGCCTTCTAAAGCCGTACTGTGTTCAGACAATGACTTTAAAAGGGAAATGTTATTTACTAATCCAGAGAGTTCCAAAGGATTTCTAGGACTATTCCAATATTGTTTGCTTTCTCCATTAGTTTCTACTTCAATATGGTCATGGTCTAAACTTCTAATGCTTCGCAAATCTTCAGATTCAGGAATATATGCTTCTGTGTCTTTGGAAATAGGATGCTTTTTTTCCAGAGGGTACAAAGAATTGGAAACTTGGATATTTGATTTATCAAGAGCAATACATTCCTCAGAGTGATTATGATTAACATTTAATGCTTGGATACTGATGTTGCTGCTTGAAGTTGACAGTAAAACCTGTTCATCATTTTTGTCTAAGTTACTTCCCATAATAAAAGTCTGAGGCTCAGTCTGTTCTGAGAATAGGCTATTTTCAGCAGTCTGATTAGTGGCTATGTTTACAAAAGGAGTATGTAAATTCAAGCTTATACCTTTAGATTTATTCTGTAGTGAAGCAATATCATAGTTAATTCTGACTTTTTGAATAGATTTATTAGCATTTTCATTATTATCTATAAATACATTATCAGTTCCCTCTAAAGATGAGTCAAAACTGCTTAATGTGTCACTACACACTTCTATTTCTTTTCTAATGTTTCCAGCTTTCCAAGGTCCTGTGTCAACACCTACACAAGCTTTATCACAAAATTGTGATAGCAGAGTCTCTTTAATAGGAAATGTCTCTGTAGGCTTATCCCTGATAGATGTTAAAAGAGACAAATGTTCACTGCCAACTTTCTTACAGCTTATATCTTCACATCTCTTCTGAACACCTGAACTGCTGTCATTAACCAAAGCTTCTTTTACCCAACCCCCTGAATCCTGGGAAATTTTGTTGTCTTCCTGTGATTCCTCCTCAGTGTCGCTGGTTTCAAAATTGTTCAGATTAAAAGTCACCTCCACAAGTGGCTGTGTTACATTACTCATAGGTTCAGGAATACTATTAAGACTTCCATTATCAGTATTACTTTTAAAAAGCATGTTGGTAAAGTCATCAGAGAGCCTAGAATTGTTGCTTATAGAAGACTCCGTTCGCAGATGTTCAGATTCTGGCAGGACTGACGTCGGCTGTTTATATTTTTTTTCTGGTGTTCCACATAGATTTATCTCCTGAGCATTTTCTCTAATGAGAATTGATCCTTTTAGACACATCTGGTCATTCTGTCTAACAGATATTTTATTATTTTTTTGAATGTCAGATTCTGATAATAAGCCATCACATTCCACACTACTACAGGTAACTGGTAAGCTGTTGCTTTTACAGAATGAGGGAATTTCTAATTTTACTTCCTGATCCAAAGATTGATCATTATCATCTACTGGCTTGTCTTCATTATACTTTTTACCCTTTTCAGCACATGTTTCAAAGAACTGTTTCCTTTCTTGTACCAAAAGGTCTTTCAAATTTAAATTTGTATTATCTCCCTGGACCTTGGGTTTCCTTTCTATATTATTTCCATCTTCAGTAGAAGAATGTACAGGTGAACTCTGTGAGGATAAATACATGGCCCATCGGCTTTTATTTCTCATGATATTTTCGGATTGATGCTGGTGGTGTAAACTCTCTGTACTCTTCTTCACCTCAGCACACTCTTCTTGTTCAGTTATGCACTTTGGTTTAGTAGGAGTGTTTTCATTTCCTTGTAGTTGTATCTGAGGGAGATGTTCTGTAATCCCAGAATTTAGTTCTTTACACACACCAGCTGATTTGGACTTCAGAAGAGCTAATATCTGTGCTTTGCTTCTGATGTTTTGTGAAACTGCTAAACAGTGAGATGTCAAACCATCTTTTTTTATAGTCTCATTGGTCAGTACAGAATCTGAATGCTTATTTACAGAATAGACAGGAGAGCAAAAATAATTTTCTTCACATAGCATTTCTGGGTTATTCTTGAAGGATGGAGTAGAGACAATAGAAGAAAAATGTAAGCCATTTGTCTCTCTGTTCTTGTAAGTGATACTCTTCTCAGGGTCTGTTGGCATATTATTTATATCTTTCTTACCAGCAGTAGAAAACAAAGGAGGTGTGCTGTAGAAGGGAGAGAGAAAAATAGGACCAGGTTTCTTAGCCTCAAGTGATGCAGCTGATTCACCATTTTCTGTAATAATCATTTTCTTTGGCACTTGACGTGGTCCTCGAAAACCCTAAAAATATTAAAACAATTATTAGCTGTTCCATTATCTATAAAGAAACTTTGATATGAACTGGCTAAAAAAAAAAGAAAAAGGAGTGTGTCTGTTTTGTAAGGTAAAGTAATAAAGATATAAAATTTACAAGATTAAAATGTAAACACTCATTTGTATTAAGATTTTTCTAGTTAGGGTTTACTTCCTCTCCACCTAAACATATATTATGAAGTACCATTTTAATGATAGAGTGCAATAGTTTCAAATTCACTACTTCTTGAAACAATATTATAAATACATATTGATTTATTATTTTCAACAGAGAAACTTACAGTAAACTTCCTTTTTAAACCAGCAGGCTGACATCCAAGGGACCGGCCAGAGGATATAAATCTCCTTGGATTTAACTCCGGTGCTTCTTTAATGACATCCTGTTTAATAGCTATGCTCCCAGCAACTTTAACCTCCTCAACTGTGATTAAGTATCGATCACTTTCTAAGTCATCTCCAGGCTTCACCTAAATTTTAAAGAATAAATTTTAAAAAACAAATAAATTTTAAAAAATAAATTTAAAATCATATACATCTAATTATTTAATTATGTGTTCCAATAGGTCATTAGCACTAGCAAGACACAATAGATAATAATTGTTAAATGTATGAATCAATACCTAAATCTTCATTTATTATTATAGACTAGTTGTCAAATAAGCACAAAAAAGGATAATAATATAGCAAAAATTTTTCATTAATTTGTTTATTCAATAACACATATATGAGACCCTTTGTTGCATGCAGGAGGTACAAAGACAAGCAAGACAAATATGCCCCTTCTCAAGGAGTTCACTAAGAACCCATACAACTAAATGTAATTTTTAAAATTAGAGGTATCAGGGCGCCTGGGTGGCTCAGTCGTTAAGCGTCTGCCTTTGGCTCAGGTCATGATCCCAGGGTCCTGGGATCAAGCCCTGCATCGGGCTCCCTGCTCCGCAAGAAGCCTGCTTCTCCCTCTCCGACTCCCCCTCCTCGTGTTCCCTCTCTCTCTGTCAAATAAAAATAATAATAATAAAATTTTTTAAAAGAGTGTCTGCCTTTGGCTCAGGTCATGATCCCAGGGTCCTGGGATCGAGCCCTGCATTAGGCTCTCTGCTCAGCGGGGAGTCTGCTTCTCCCTTTTCCTCTGCCTGCAGCTCCCCCTGCTTGTACTCTCTCTCTCTGTCAAATAAATAAATAAAATCTTAAAAAAAAAAATAAGATCGGGGAGCCTGGGTGGCTCAGCCGTTAAGCATCTGCCTTTGGCTCAGGTCATGATCCCAAGGTCCTGGGATCAAGCCCCACATCGGGCTCCCTGCTCAGCGGGAAACCTGCTTCTCCCTGTCCCACTCCCTCTGCTTCTGTTCCTGCTCTCACTAACTCTCTGTCAAAATAAATAAATAAAATCTTAAAAAATAATAATAATAAAAAAATTAAAAAATTAAAAATAAATAAGATCATCAACCTAGTTGGTGATATACAAAATCTGTGTATTATCACAGACAATATGCTTAGTCTTTCCTAATGAAATGATTTAAGATGAAATAATAACAACAGTAGTTATGCCCAATTAAGCATCTACTAAGATAGTGCTTTTCATAGACCCTTTTGATAAATACAAAAATACCACAACCATTATTAATGCTATTTAACACCATGGCTGGACAGCCTGGGTGGCTCAGTCGTTAAGCGTCTGCCTTCGGCTCAGGTCATGATCCCAGGGTCCTGGGATCGAGCCCCGCATCGGGCTCCCCACTCAGCAGGAAGCCTGCTTCTCCCTCTCCCACTCCCCCTGCTTGTGTTCCCTCTCTCGCTGTCTCTCTCTCTGTCAAATAAATAAAATCTTAAAAAAAAAAAAAATTTAACACCATGGCCAAAATCAACACAATGATAATAAGAATATGCATTTTTTTTTTTAAGATTTTATTTATTTGACAGAGAGAGAGACAGCGAGAGAGGGAACACAAGCAGGGGGAGTGGGAGAGGGAGAAGCAGGCTTCCTGCTGAGTGGGGAGCCCGATGCGGGGCTCGATCCCAGGACCCTGGGATCATGACCTGAGCCGAAGGCAGACGCTTAACGACTGAGCCACCCAGACGCCCCAAGAATATGCATTTTAACACTTTTAGAATCACCATACTAAACTGCACTTTACATAAATTATTTCTAATTTTTACACCAACATAATAAAGTCTGTCTTATGGTCTGTTTTACAGTACAGAATTTAGACACAGAGAGGCTAGGCTAGCTAGGAAGCATTTTAAAGTGGGAAATGAACCCAGACCAAACTTTAATATCCTTATTCTTTACACTAAAATATGCCTTTAGTTCCCTTTCTTTCTCCAAAAGGGGAAAACAGAGAATATTTGAGAAAATATTATATATAGGAATAATTTCCCAAAATATTTCCCACTATAGTTCTCAGCCTATCAAGACCATGTAATACAATTAAGTTAGAGTCAATTTCTGGGGTCAGATCCCAGCCCTACCACTGTAATTCTATGAACATGGGCAAGTTACTGAACCTTTCTGAACTGCACTCCTATTGTAAAAAAAAAATCACAGCGTTGTGTAAAGATTAAATGAAATATCTAAAAGTTTTTAGCAAGGGTGTGGCTAATAATAAATGTTGAAGAAGTATTAACTATAATTAATGCTATTAATACCATGTCTATACTCTTTAACAAAATTCATATAGAAATTTTTTTAACTTAAATACAGAGATTTAAGTAACTTAAAAATAGAGATTTAAGTAACTTAAAAATAGGATAGAAACATTAAAATACCTCCAAGCACTTCAGAAATATACTCTCCAAACATTCTCCTTTGTCATCATATAAAATTGCCTATATTAAAACAAAATAAATGTTAAAAAGAAACAAATTCTGCTTTTCTTAAACATTTTCAATAGCAAATCAAAAATGGTTGTATGAATAAATCCTATAATGAAAGAATTACCCAATTTGTTTTGGATTAGAAAGTACATCTATTTCAAATGTTTCCTAAGCAACTATTCAATCTGTGCAAGACAGCAAAGGTATATGCCTAAGAAATTCATGAACTTAATCTCTGCCAGGAGGATCCTGGAATGGAAATGGGAAGAAAACAGAATTGGAATGCATTAGAGGGCAAAACAGGAGGCAAGATGAGTAAACAGGGGTGCCTGAGTGGCTCAGTTGGTTAAGCATCTGCCTTGGGCTCAGGTCATGATTCCAGGGTCCTGGGATTGAGCCCCAAGCTGGGCTCTCTGCTCAACAGGGAGTCTGCTTCTCCTTCTGTGCTCTCTCTCTCAAATAAATAAAATCTTAAAAAAAAAAAAAAAAAGGATGTGACATGGAGGATTGGGGAGATGATCAGTGCTTGAAATAAGTCATCAGCATTGGGAAAAAAGACTTATATGGGGTATAAGGAATAAAACTTGTTGAATGGAAGCAATAAGGGAGAAAAAGGAAGTTAAGGTAATTATAATTTTCTGGCTTTCTCCTTATGTCTTTAGCCATTTTTTTTTTAAAGATTTTATTTATTTTTATTTGAGAGAGAATGAGAGAGAGGGAGTACATGAGAGGTGGGAGGGTCAGAGGGAGAATCAGACTCCCTGCCAAGGAGGGAGCCCGATGCGAGACTCGATCCAGGGACTCCAGGATCATGACCTGAGCCGAAGGCAGTCGCTTAACCAACTGAGCCACCCAGGCGCCCTGTCTTTAGCCATTTTTTATAGCACTTTCTCCACTAGCCCTTTAAATGTTACTGTTTCCATCACTTTGGAGAATAGTTTGGCATTCTTAAAAGGTTAAAAACAGAGATGCCATGAGATCCAGCAATTCCACTCCACTCTGTACATATACAGAGCAATGAAAACATATGTCTTCACAAAAACTTGCACACAAATGTTCATAGCAGCAAAAATAGCAGCCAAGGGTTGCCTGGGTGGCTCAGTCATTAAGCGTCTGCCTTCGGCTCAGGTCATGATCCCAGGGTCCTGGGATCGAGCCCCACATCGGGCTCCCTGCTCAGTGGGAAAGCCTGCTTCTCCCTCTCCCACTCCCCCTGCTTGTGTTCCCTCTCTCGCTGTGTCTTTCTCTGTCAAATAAATAAATAAAATCTTTAAAAAAAAAAAAATAGCAGCCAAAAAGTGGAAACAACTCAAATCTGTATCAGTTGAAGAATAGATTAAAAAAATGTGATATATCCACACAATAGACTATTACTGAGCAATAAAAAGAATAAAGTATTGAAACATGCTTCAACATGGATGAAACTTGAAAACATGCTAAATGAAAGAAGTCATTCAATGAAAGACTATCTATTGTACCATTCCATTCATGTGAAAGGTCCAGAATAGGCAAATCTATTGAGGCAAATCTACTGAGACAAAGAATAAGAGCAAAAGTTCTTACAATGACCAATAAGGCCTACATAATCCCCTTGATCTCCATTCTCATCCTTGCTCACTCTACTCCTTGTTGTCTGCCTAACCCACTAGACAAACATTCATTTAGTTTACTGGTCTGTCTCCTCCATGTTGTTTCCATGAAGTCAGGGGTTCATGTGTTTTGTTCCCTCTGCATCCTCAAGAACAGTGTGTAACTCATAACAGGTGCTCAAAAAACATCTGTTAAAGAAATAAATGTAGGGGAGCCTGGGTGGCTCAGTTGGTTGGGCATCTGCATTCAGCTCAGGTCATGATTCCAGGTCCTGGGATGGAGCCCCACATTGGGCTCCCTACTCAGCAGGAGTTCTGCTTTGCCCTCCTCCTCTCTCCCTGTGTTGCGTGTGTGCTCTCTCTCTCAAATAAATAAAATCTTCAAAGAAAAAGAAAAAAAGAAAGAAATGTATGAATCCACTCCAGAAGCTTCAAATATCATCTAAATGCCACGTACTCCCAATCAGTATTAGTAGCCGAGAACTTTCCTGAGTTGCAGGTCTCTATAGCCAATTATTTAAATGTTCCTATGACACTGCAAATTCATTAAGTTCAAAATGGAACTCAAAATCTTAATTTTGGGGTGCCTGAGTGGCTCATTCGGCTAGGCATCTGACACTTGATATCGGCTCAGGTCATGATCTCAGGGTCGTGCGATCAGGTTCCAAGTCGGACTCTGCACTCAGTGCAAGGTCTGCCTGAGATGTTCTCTCTCCCTCTGCCCCTCTTCCTGCTTGCATGAGTGCGTGCACTCTCTCTATATATGTATATATAATAAATAAATCTTTAAAAAATTTTTTAATTTTTTCTCCTAAACTTACGCTTTTTCTTTTTGAGATATCCTATCTCAGTACCTCAGTGTATCCTATCACAATACAAAAACCTGAAAGTCATTATGGATTTTTCTCACCTTCCATGTCCAAGACCTTAAGGTTCTATAATAATTTCACAATTTCTCTCTAATCATCCTTTCTCTCCATTGTCATTGCTAATGCCTGCTTGGTCAGACCTCCACCACTTTTTGTCTACATTATTCTTTAGCCTACAGTCTTCTTAAATTCAATCTTTCATCCTACACAGCTTAAATGTTATGTTATACATTGTTGCCAGAATGATATAAAAAAGAAATATGATTATGTCACTCTTCTGCTCATAATTCTTCACTGGCTCCTAAAGCTGAGTATACAATGTCCTCTGTGATAGGACTCCTGACTACCTCTTCAAGCCATATATTCTACAATTTCCCAATATGAGCCCTTCATTCCAGGCATATTTAACTGCTTATAGTTACCCAAATTTTTAATAGTTTCATCCTCTATGTTGTTATAGCTATGACACCATCTTTAGCTCCCCTCCCTCCAACCTATCAATTGTTTACGAAAACAAATATTCAAAAAATACTCTTTATCTGGAAAGACTTCTCTGAACCAGAATCAGACTGATATCACTCCCACAGAACCTTAAGCATATCTCTATACATATTATAATCCTTATGTTCTTAGATAAAAGCTGCTTAAAGACAGAAACTATTAAGTTACCATTTATTGCATTCTTACAATGTGCCAGGTACTTTAAGAGGTTTATACATTTTCTCATTTAATCCTCAAGACAACTGTATTAAAGGGACTGTAGGCCTTGAAAAGCTAAATAACTTGCCAAGATTATACATCTAGTAAGTGAAGAGCCAGGATTCAAACTAAGGTCTATGTGACATTAACTGGTCTTCCACATAGCCTTTATATGTCTTATTTAAATTGTCCCACTGCCTACCAGCAACATATGTTTATTAAATGACTCAATTAATGAAAATAAGTAACCCTGACAGTAAGAATTTGGATAGGTAAAGATAATACTAGCAAGAGAAATGGTGTAAGCAGTGGCTTGGATTTGAGAACAAGGGTGTTACTTAGTATACAGAGAGATTACTAACTTTCCTGATCACAGAAAATCCCTGGAACTAACTTGAATTTATCTTGTTTTCCTATGACTTATCAATGTAAGGGATAAAATAGACATTCAAATACATGCTAGGGGCGCCTGGGTGGCTCAGATGGTTAAGCGTCTGCCTTCGGCTCAGGTCATGATCCCAGAGTCCTGGGATCGAGTCCCGCATCGGGCTCCCTGCTCCTTGGGAGCCTGCTTCTCCCTCTGCTTCTCTCTCTGTCTCTCATGAATAAATAAATAAAATCTTTAAAAATATATATATTAAAAAAAAATACATGCTATACGCTGAAGATAAAATTGGATTACACCACTAGCGTAACCCAATATTACGATTTTGTACCCAAAGACATGAAGGATATGCAGAATCTAACCAGATGCCTTTTTAATATAAGACAAAATCTGTAAGACTTTGAAGACTTAGCCCAACCAAATAGGAAAAATATTTTTTAAAAAATTACATAGGGGGGCGCCTGGGTGGCTCAGTTGGTTAAGCGATTGCCTTCGGCTCAGGTCATGATCCTGGAGTCCCGGGATCGAGTCCCGCATCGGGCTCCCTGCTCGGCGGGGAGTCTGCTTCTCCCTCTGACCCTCCCCCCTCTCATGTGCTCTCTCTCATTCTCTCTCTCTCAAATAAATAAATAAAATCTCTAAAAAAAAATAAAAATAAAAAAAATAAAAAATAAAAAATTACATAGGGGCACCTGGGTGGCTCAGGCGTCAAGCGTCTGCCTTCGGCTCAGGTCATGATCCCAGGGTCCTGGGATCGAGCCCCACATCGGGCTCCCTGCTCGGCGGGAAGCCTGCTTCTCCCTCTTCCACTCCCCCTGCTTGTGTTCCCTCTCTCACTGTGTCTCTCTCTGTCAAATAAATAAATAAAAATCTTTAAAAAATAATAAATAAGATTAAAAATAAAAATAAAAAATTACACAGAATATCATCAACAGTGAATGGATTAGTTTAAGACAAATTATTAAAAAATATGAATGAAGATAGGCATAGACATTCATCTACTCAAATCAAAAGAAATAGATGATATGACTTAAACCCAAGATATCAACTATGAGGGGGCGCCTGGGTGGCTCAGTCGTTGGGCGTCTGCCTTCAGCTCAGGTCATGATCCCAGAGTCCTGGGATCGAGCCCCGCGTCGGGCTCCCTGCTCGGTGGGAAGCCTGCTTCTCCCTCTCCCACTCCCCCTGCTTGTGTTCCCTCTCTCGCTGTCTCTCTCTCTGTCAAATAAATGGGTAGGATCTTTAAAAAAAAAAAAAAAAAGATATCAACTATGAGACCCTTCCTAAAGGGCATGGACTTGGAGATCCCATTGTTACTCCAACTAAACACAAGGTTCAACATGTCCCTTTATGATGCTGGTAAGGTTACAGTGATTATAACCCTAGGTCTCAACTCTCAGGCCGGAATCTAATTTGTAACTTCAGTTCACTGGTATAACTCTAATTTACTTGGGACAGTAACATTTTTAT